TATATTCAAGGTCACCTTGAAAGTTCCCCTGACCCTGTTTGGGAAACACTGGCCTAGGTTCAGTCTAAGTAACCATGACTCAGTTGATTTGTAGATGTGGCCATGTGCATATATATTACGTGTCCTGTTTCATCTCCCCTCCATGAGTCTACCCAGAAGCTGTTCTAATCACAGAGCTGTGACCTTCAGGTGCAGCTGGTCTCTGGAGCGTTGTGGGAGGATCAAATCAGAGTGGAGCTGAAGGTCCTGTACCACCAGTCCACACATTTAAGACAATTATTGACTCATGTGCTGCATGGACAATGATGAAGTTATAAAAAGATGTTTATTCTGTGCAATAAGCTATCTGTTCTTTGCGTAAGAAAGAGGCACAAACCATCACTACTCCACTTTACCTCATTCTACAAAAAATAGGGATGACACCACCGTACCCAGATTCCTCCTTGTTGAATTTACGTTTTGGTGGGCAGGTTCAGCCCTAATTTAAAACTGAAAGAGTACTGTTTCTTGTGGTACTTAAAAGGCCAAATATTGTCATATATGATATTTGCTGATTGCAAATAAGTTTTATTTGTATTAAAATTTTTATTTCAGCATTTTTATAGTGACACTTGATGCCTTAAATTCTGCTGATGTTGAACAATAATCTCAGTATCAGGTCATGTAGCAGTGCACATGAGTGTGAATGCAGCGGTCCCCAGGCGCATGGTGCCGGGGCTTGACGTCAGCGGTGACCGCTAAGCACAGTGCGTCAAAGCGTCTCAACTATACGCACTAGCAAACAAACACAATAATATTTAGTCAGGCACCACTGCCGCTCCTTCACCACAGTGGCGCTTAGCAGGAGAAAAATACCTTGACTATTGATTCGTCTCAAATAATCCACGCTTTTGGCAGTAAAATGCAGGAAATCTGATTGAGACGATAATTTAATGTGTCTAAAAGATTAAAAGAAAAACATAACAGATAGTCCTTGAAATGAAAAGATCAATCTTAAACCATGAATAAATGAGCTGAAAGACGCTTGCAGTTAGAGTGCAGATGCTTGGCAAATGTGAGAGTTCCCCCTACTGGACACATGTGGGTTACAGCGTGTAATTAAACTCTGCTCTGACGCCAACTTGTAATACTGGAGACAAGGAAGCCACATGAAAACTGTCACTGGCAATGTCTCCATCATCATGTCACAGTTTTCTCTTTCATACAGTTTCTCTTTTTCATGGGTTTCATAATTATGAAAATAATACCTTTACAGTTATCTATTAACAATTTTAAACAGAATGTAAAAAAGATATAATACAAAAAATGTTGCATATAACAAAGAAGATGAAACCCATTAACTGCAAATAAATGTTGAGTGAATGTGACAGAAGATACTCTAGTTCTTATTTGTCTTTATTTTACAGCTTCTATCAGTTGTATAAAAAAAGCATAAAACATTTTCTGCATCTGTAGAATGTTTTTTTGTTTGTTTGTTTTTTTTTATAATCATTATTATTATGAAAATGGACAAAATGGGCAAAATGCAGAATGTGTACTGACTCTGTGTATGCCTTGTAGACCATGTTTTGTGTAGGTAAGCAAGCAGCAAATCATATTAATTTCATGCTATGAATAGATTAAATTACCTCAAATCATGTCATATTCTGTAGGTAGTGGCGTAAAAAGGGGGTTGGGAGTATTTAGAGCAGTTTGGGGGGGGGGGGTCTACACACATAATCCACGAGCTGATGAACCTGAGGAGTGTATCGCCATGGAAACCTTTGTATCTCTGCCCTGTGATTGGCTGCCATCTGCGAGTGGTAGTCTCATCTATGTCTGACATTATCCAACACTCGAGACATGGAGCCAGTCATGGGACCCTTTACCACAAGAATATCCTTGTTTTACATCGCCCTACTTAATTACACAACACACACGACCTTTGCCCCCAAGGAGAGGGCCACCACTTATCACAGGCTGGGTTTTAGTGCAGAGACTGACCAAAATACTGCCCATTGTAAAATGAGTGTTATCTGTTAAATTAGATATTAGATAAAGCTTTTGGCATTTGACTGTAAACATACTGTTCATTTGGATTTATCTTAGGGAGTTTCCATTCATATCCCTTCAGCACTTTATTACTAGCCACAAATACGTCATGGTTTTATGTCAGGCACTGGATAAAATACAGGGAAATGTTGGTACCTCGCTTTAACCTTCAGAAGACAAGCTGAAATCCAATGGGAGCTACATTTCTACCTCACTGCAGTATTCCCAATGGGGCACTGTATATTCAGGTCCAGACTAACCACAAACAATAACACTGTTGTTTTAGGGCCATCCGCTCCTGTCTGTTCCTCTGCGTCACATGAGCAGCTCTGGAACAGCAGTGGCAGGGCCTGAGCGAGCAGGTGAATGTCAGTTAACCTTTGTGTATGTGGATGGCACCACTGTAATCAGATCAATACTCGATCATGTGCTCAGTTTGCTGGTAAATTAGTACATACAAATGTTTCTCTTGTAGCAAACCATCACAAATATTCTCTAGATCTATCTTTAAGGCCATTTGAAATCTACTGCCAATTGGGTATGCATTGAAAAAAGCTCATGTGAAGTAAAGAACTGTGAAAAACCTTTACTTGGGTATGCTGAAATTGTTAGGTATACTTAAATGTAACTGAATAAAGTGCTGAACAAAATTATAATTGCAAATTTACAGCAAAATCAACTCCACTGCCGTAAAATATAAGATGACTGTGAATACTGTCAAAGTCACATCACTTCTCCTAATTAATTATTTGCTCTTATTTTAGACAGCTTTAGGTCTTTTCTGTAGTCTTTGAGTTCTTGTTTAAGTTTGTCTTCCACAGTTAGCCTGCTTTTCTGGTGGATCTAGCCTTAATTGTCTGTTAAAGCTGAATAATTCATAGCTGGATCTATATTCACACTGCCAATTACTTGTGCCATGTGACATTATGAAAAATTATACGTAACTCTATAGAACCCACAGTATGTTTTTGACACATTGCCAAGTATTGTGTCTCTGTATTGTGTATGCTAAATAATTGTATATTTGCTGTCTATGGTTATCACAGTGGCATTCTGTATGTTTATGTTTACATCAATGAGGAGTTTGTTATTTCTCATCTTTCCCTGAGGTTGCCCTTTTGCAGATAGTTATCAGGGGTTATAGGGATGGTGGGTAGCAGTGGGGCTGGGGGGCACACAGTTCAAGACGGGGGCAGAAAAATAGGGAAGCTGACGAGAAGATCACCATGGAAACCTTTGTAATTCTCTGCTCTGCGATTGGTCCAGCATCAGACATCAGCTATTTCTGACATTATCCACCACTTGAGACATGAGCGCAGTCAAAAATACCCTCAATATTTACTAAAACGTGGGTGAAATCAGGCAGCGTTTCTGCATGGGAATAGCAGTACTGTAATGGGATCAATACTCGATTATGTGTCCTCTTTGCTTTTTGTTATTAAAAGAGGCAACTCCTGTAGTAATCACATTCTAAGAGTTCTCTAGAAGAATGAATCACTAAAGATGTTTGTTGTCTAACCAAATCTACACAAACCATTTTCCAAACACTGTTGATTACATTTATAGCTACAGAAACTGAATGACTAAGGACAGTGGTTTTCAAACTTTTCACACCAAGACAATATTTGGCTTTTTGAGTGCCGACTGATCAAACGCAGGTCTACTAAATACTTGATTTGGTAGATACTTGGTTTAAAATAGTCCTCAAACAAGATACAAGTTCTAATTGTGATATCATTCAACAGCCATGAGACCAATATAATCCCAAAAGAACAGAAGGCCTTAGCACATTAATTTTATATATATATATATATATATATATATATATATATATATATATATACATACACACACACATATATATATATATATATAAAAGACATATATGCTTAAGTATGTGTGGCACAGTCTTAATAATCTTTGTTTTAAACCAAATATAATCCCTGTAGACTGGAGTGGCCAAAGAGCACTTATTGCATTGTGGAAAGAGATGAGGCAATACATCATAGAGCTGAGAAGAAATCAATAGAATAGACACTTAAAGCAGTTTGTCAAGGTGTGTGCTGCTCCATTTCTAGAATAATAATAGTGAAGTCATATGTCATATTTACATTCTTATATAATATTACATTACATGAGAACAAATCATAATGCACACAAAGACATTGTAGTTCAAAATTAAATTAAAAGCTAAATCAATGTGATGAATTAAAATGAATATATGGACCCTAAGCTAAATTATATTGCATTATGTTTTCAGTTATCACGCTTATATATGATTCATTCATTCAATATTTTCGTTCACACATTTGATAAAAAACGTGGCATTTTCTTAGAACCTGTTTTACCATATACAGTATGTTTGTGGGCTGGACTATTGCAAATCCTAATCTTCACTCATTAACATCAACAAACCAGATTTTTTTTTCTTTGGTTCTCAGCAAATCAATAATCCTTCCGCGTGAGAGGGCTTTCACCGGATAGAGAGAGAGCCAGAGATAGCATAAGACGTAGAAGGCAGCAGCTTGTTGGGCGTTAAGGTGTTTTTGTATTGCTAATTATGTGACAGTTTTGTTGTACGAAGATCTGCTGGGGCCCAGGAGGAGGATGGGAAAAAGGAAACAATATTTTTTTTGAAATACAAGGAGGTGGCACTAAGACCCAGTGGAGAGGACAGAGCCACCCACCCACTGCCCGTGCACGGCTGTCTGCTCCACATCTCAAAAGCTGGAGATCTATAGAAGCTTTCCTTTCAGATTGTCGTATTTGTAAACAGAAATTTCAGTGTAGGATGAGGGCTGTGAGATATTAGGTGGAGATGGGTGGTGATTGGAGAGGCACGGAGCGGTCGGAGCAGGGAGGCGGGAGGAGGTGATGATGAAGGGGCCAGGTGAGGAGGAGACTGTGCAAAGCCCCCCTTCTTTTGGTTTTACTACCGCCCAACCCCACTCCTCTCACAGACAAGACAAGTCAGACCTCTGCTATTACACAGGAGCAGCAACAGGACACTGTCAGGTATGTGCACACAGCAAATGACACCTACTCATCATTTCAGTTTAGCATTTTAGACCAAGCATGTTCATTTTCTTGAGTTAAATGTTTTGTTTGAATAACTGTACACTAAATGCAACTAGTAGAAAGTGTTTTATCCTGAAACAAACAAGAGGCTGTTTTCTTCTGGCAGTAAACACAGTGTCATGTGTATATGATAGGGTCATAAGGTTTCCACTTAGGGATATGTTCTAGTGCAGTAAAATAGTTTTGGCATTAACTTGCTTATAGTTTGTGGAAATTATATGTATTATTATGTAGATGGTAGCATCAAACTGTAAGTGAATAACTACAGAATCTGTACTTGAGGTTTAAGTAATAAACGTTTTGCCTTTGATACTATAATAATATGAGATATAATATACTTAGAAGATCAAGTTGAGGTTTGCAGAGAAAAATATATTTTATTAAAATGCTTTTCTGTTGAGACATTGATAAATAACTGTTGGCTGTATACAATTCCATGTCACTGATTGTGAGGCAACAAATAAACTGTGTCATTGTGTACAAATGAACAATAGAAACAAAGCATGGATGAAAATACTGCAAGTATTATTATTAGTGGTAGCAGTAGTGTTAGTAGTAGTAATACTGATTATTTATTAATATTATTACTTATTTTTATGTGGTTTTAATTCATAATACAAACACTAAAATTGCAATAGTTCTTATCTGGAGGTCATTTATTAGGCAGAAGCTACATTTATTCATCTGACCTAATCTTTGCTGGCCTCTTGACGTATGTGTCCATCAGCTGACTTTTTTGGAACTGTCTGTCACACTTGTGAAATGGAAAACTTGTCCATGAGGGCGGACAGTGTATGGAAATGTACCACACACTGTAGTTCTGACTACATGAGGTTGTGACCATAAACACAACCAACAGGCTCTTCTCTGACAACCAGAATACTATTATGGGAGATGGATAGAGCATGATTGATAGACCAAAGCAGAATTACTATGTGTGTTACAAAACTGGTCCTTGGGGTCAATGACAGATAGGTTTGGAAATGGACAAGATTTAGTTGAACTTGTTTACATTTTATGATTTCAAATGTTGTGTTCTTTGATTACACAACAGTCAAGACATTTATGTGTAAGAGGCAATAGCCAGGTCTTGAATATCATCTAATTGTTGCTATCAAGAACAAGCAGTGGGATGGAGTGGTCTAGCGTACTGAATCAACAGCCATGTATTAATAATGTCAGAAGTCTGTCAAATGTTGTTTTTCAGAATGGACTAAAAAGTGCCGTATCGATTGGTCCATCACTCAGGCAGCGATAATGCTGAGTTTTGCTGTTTATTTCTAATCCAGTTTCCTTCTAGACTCCGTAAGATCAACATATGGTTCACTCTGTGCTTTTAGTTTGTCCCTGGGGCAGCTGCCCTCCAAACACGCATCTGAACATGCAGATGCCTGAATCAGTGAGAGAAGTATGTTTATGTTTTTGTTGGAGAAAAACACAAAAGAAGTCATAGGAGTCAACATTTCTTGCCTGTATAAAATAAGATGAGAGAACTCCTGACCACCACAACCACACCTCTAAACAGAGAAACTTTTTTTTTAAATGTTGCTTGGCTTTTGAAGGGAGAGAACCTACAAGTGTGACTTTTCATTACAGTTGATCAGTAAATCTATCTATGTGTCTAACTATGTTCTGTTTCTTATAGATCTTTAGAGCTGGATGTGTGTCTGTGGGGCTCCGGTCGGTTGGCTTCTCCAGAGATCATCTGCACTGCTCTGGCCTAGATCCAGCTGCCCATGGGCTGCTGCACCCTCTGAGCTTCTCTGCAGCACCCTACTACAGGGGAGGATGGGTGATGGGCCCGTGACACTAAGCAGACTTTTTCATTCCATCCTCTCATGGAGCGTCCCATCACAGCCAGTCACCCCTGGAACACCTCTCTATCCGGGCTACCCTTCCTGCCAGCGCTGCTGCAGACACAGGCAACGCCTAATGGGAGCCAGCCCGTGGTCAGTGGTCCCAGCACTGGAGTGGACCTGAGCCAGTCTTTGGCCCTATGCGCCATGATTATAATGGACGTCCTGGCTGTGGTGGGGAACCTGGCTGTAATGGTGGTGATCAGCCGGACGCCTCAGCTGCGGAAGTTTGCCTTTGTGTTTCACCTGTGTCTGGTGGACCTGGTGGCCGCGCTGGTGCTCCTGCCCATGGGAATGCTCTCTGATCGGGTTGTGGTGAACGAGACCCTGTGCCGCTGCTACCTGTGCCTCTCTGTGTGTCTGGTGAGTGCTGCCATTCTTACCATCTGTGCCATCAACGTGGAACGATACTACTACATTGTGCATCCCATGCGGCACGAGGTGAAGATGACGGTGGGCGTGGTGGTTCTGGTGCTGGTGGTGATCTGGTTGAAAGCAGTGCTCATGTCTGTGCTGCCGCTGCTGGGGTGGCTGTTGCAGGGCGATCAGGGGGCTCCTCTGGACCTTGTCCCTGGTCAGAGACAGTGCTCCCTTCATTGGACAGGTGGCCAACTCACACGTATGCTCTTCATGGACTTCTTTAGTTTTATTTATTTCTTGTGTCCGGTGCTGGTCATCCTAGTGGTGTACTGTAACATGTTTAAAGTGGCTCGTGTGGCTGCCATGCATCACGGCCCACTGCCCACCTGGACAGAGTCATCCCGGCAGCGCTCAGAGTCCGTCAGCAGTCACTCTACCATAGCAGCCAGCCTGAGTGGGACAGGGGAGCGCACCACCCCTCAGAGGATGTTTAGTGGGGGTAAAGCTGCGGTGGTGTTGCTGGCTGTAGGGGGTCAGTTTATATGTTGCTGGCTGCCGTACTTCTCCTTCCACCTGTATTCGGCCACAGTGTCAGCCTCGCCCCATGCCCTGGCCCAGCTGGAGGACGTGGTTACATGGATCGGATATTTCTGCTTCACTTCCAACCCCTTCTTCTACGGCTGCCTGAACAGACAGATCCGGGAGGAGCTGGGCAGACACCTTGCCTGTTTGTTCAAGCGTGCGGGGCGTGGGGAGGCGGAGCAGCTTCCCAGCAGAGAAGCCTCCATCGAGGAGAACTTCCTGCAGTTCCTCCAGGGTACGGGCTGCAGCCTGGAGCCCTGTAACTCCCACAGCAGAGCCAGCCCTGAGCCCGGGACAGAGGGCCCAGTCGAGCCCACGGACTGTACTATCCCAGGGCAGATCTTGGAGGAGACCTCAGAGTTCATTCAGCGACAGCAGCTGAACAATGATATGCACGGATCAGAAAGAGGCTTTAAGACCATTCCTGAACTGTAACCAGTGTACTGTTTGTTAACGACCACTGATACGTTTGGTATATTCCTGTTTTATAAGTAAATGAATACATCTCTTGTTCTGCTCTGACACTGCTGTAATGCTAAACCACAGAACACAGATCCTTCTGTGAAGAATCCTAGTTATGGAGCTCTTCCATGAAACTGAAGCTGCTCCTCCACATACGTATTCTCCTGTCAGACAGCGCACGGCACTGGGCCCTTCTGTTCCACACATCCGGTTATTTAATGTCATGAAGTGTTAAAGCTCAGAGGTCTTTACAGTCATTATGGAGCAGAATCCTTTTACACTGTACACACAAACACAAAGGACCTTTGACAACATACTATTTCCAGTTTTCTGTATGTTGGATTAATGAAATCCTTCACTAGACTTGAACAGCCCTGACCTGACCATCAGCTGTTTGACCTGTTTTGTTTGGACTAAAAATAATCTACAAGAAGTTACTAACTACAATGAGCTTTTCAAAAGGTAAACTGTTAGTGAACTTAATCGGCATATGACAGGTTAGACAAGGTTGGCATAATTAAATAGAACCTTTTTGAAAATCTTGTTTTATCTGGTTTGTCCATTTTGACTAAGTATACTAGTATACTTTGAATTTTGGGTTGGCAGCATGTGACATGTGGACAGACAATTCCATAACATAAATTTTATTTTGTTAAATGAAGCCTGAATTTACAGATGGCTATAGATGTAATTCAGTTGCATATGCAACTGATATTTTTACAACTCAGCAGGACTTCCTTTAATTTTCATCTCATTTTATTCTTCACAAACTGCTACTTATTTTGGTATTATCCCACAAAACTAAGTAGTAATATTTAGAAAAATATTCAAACCTACCATATGCCTTTTAAGGATGCATTCACAAATGCATACAAAATTAGGACTTAGTTTTGAGTAAAACCAGTACTGGGCTAGATCACACAGTAACTAAATCAGAGCTAGAACGGGACCGAACCATGTCTACATCTGGACTAAACTGTGCCCAAACCAGGACCAAACCAAAAAGTGGCCCTCAAATTCATGCAGGAGTGTTTTTCTACACAAAATACCCCATTCTAATTTTTACAGCCTCCAATGGGATCATTTTTCTGTTGGCACTGGAGGCACACAGCATGTATTTACCCGATTCCAGGAACATTATTATCATGTTTATCTGGTCTTGTGATTATCACCTACACTCCGAATTCAGCTCACATTAGGAAGCTCGTGATTTCGCCACATTTTACCCTTAAAGACAAACAATGTGACTGCGGTTTCATTTTTATGGCAGGGCTGGTTTAAAAGACCTTTTGGAGTTATAAAAACAACCTTCACAGAACAAAAGTAGTTGTGTTAGGCTGGTACAAAACGTGGCAGGGAGTGGATGGGCCCTGCTATGTCTGCCTGTTTACACGTAAATACGGCACAAGTGTGAGTGTAAACATGAAGGTTTGTTGTGGCTACATGCGGCACAGGTGTAACACTGCTTATACATGTAGAGCTTATGCCGTTGGCCTATTTCAGGGCACCAAAAATGTATAGAATTTTAAACTAGTGTTGTCATTATACTAAAATTTCAAACTTGATTTTAATACACTTGATACTGATTCTCTTTTATAGACAATAGACTTCGATACAAAAATAATATTCCTTAGATTACTATGTGGCACTAGTTTTGAAAAGTTCAGGATCATTCTAAGATCATTAAGAAAGGTACAATTTTGTCCTGTTAATGTGATTTTTTTGTATCGAATCATGTTCAGTCTGGTTTCAGCACCAGTTTTAGTATTGATACTTTTGACAACCCTATTTTAAACTAACAAATATAGTATTATAGTAAATTTAAATATGACAAGGTGTCATCTGATACATAAATATTAACCAGGTCTGACCAGGACTATGGAGGCCTAAATCTTCTTCACATCATATCTTTATTGGGGCAATGATTTCAACTTTTCCTTGCCAAATGCTGCTTCTCTCATCTCAGGTGGAAAACAATTTGCACAAGTCTTATAACTTATGATGTGATGAAACAAAAACAACATTGTAAAACATTTATGGACTAAACCACTTTTCCTTCATCTATTTTGGATTCTCACCGGACTCCCCTGGCAGGATCACAAGACAAGAACACATGGCATAAAAAAGAGACCTAACATTCGCTGGGAGTTAAAACCATAAAGGCCTCTTTGTCAGGGCAGTACTTTATGTTCCTAAATATTCTCACACAATTGTCATATCTTTTTGAAAAGCAGTTACAGCCTACCAATCTTGTACAATATGATAAGAAAGGCACTAATAAAACTGCACTGTTTTGTATACAAAATCCAGATTAAACTAATTTCTATTTGGTGGTTTTCAATTAGCTGCAACCAAAAAGACCTTGACCAATCAGATTACTCACTCTAATCTCCATTTTTGATGCCATCTGTTGATAAGCTAAACATTCCTAGTTTGTAAAATATCCTTTGACCTCTTCAGGTTTTGTTAATGTTAAAAATGCTGTATTTTACAGTTTTGTACCAGGAGTGGGATGACTGTTGTAGCTTGATTTCTGTAAAGACTTGTTTTGTCAGTTAAATAAAATGATTAAAGAGAGACGGTGATTGCGTGGAGATGGTGAGTTATTGAGAGGGAGGAGGGGGATGAAAGGAGCATGACATTTAGAGGAAGGTGGACGCCAGCTCAATATGGTTTATCTGTTGCTGAGGTCAGGTGGATTGTCAGTGGTGATGACTTAGTTTCTTGGAACTAAGATTGAACCCGGACTAACTCGCACAACAGTATATACATTCAACAGTGTTGGCCAGGGATATCTAAAGGCATCAACAATATATAATTCATATTAATATATAGGTGTATTCATTATTGAATATTTAAAATGTGTCATGTGTCACAAATATTGTTCAAAGTGCTTGTAACTGTTTGGCCAAAGTGGGAAAGCAGCATTTCATGCGACATAAATATGAGAGGTTTACTGGAAGCCAGCAGAATCAAGCCAGCTCCTGTGGTCCACAAAGACACAGCGTATGACTACAGACCAGTGTGCCCATATTTTTGCATAAGGTAAATTGTATATGAAGCAGAAGCTAAATTAGACTATGATTATTCCCGCAGCTATCTGGCTATACAAACAGCCTAAATGTAAAATATAAAGGGTTTGTGAAGTAGGCCTAATAAGAATGTAGCCTAACTATTTCAGATAAGTTACCACACATCTCCTCCCAGGTCACACCGCAGCCTTGTGAAGGGCATCTCCCTCTCCTCATGCCGTGTGACTGTCAAGCTTCCTGTGGCCGCGGTCCCGCTGCTTCTTTGGGCGAGACTGTGCCGTGAATCATCGCTTTCATGTGCGGCGGAGAAGGGCGCCTCCTGCTGTGCACAGACAGACGCACAGTTCAAACAAACATGCCCTTTGCCTCTTTGCCTGTGGCCACCGGCATGGCACGGGCAGCGGTGTCTAAACAATAGATACTATTCCACAGTATGAAACAGGCCTATAGTTTCAAACACGTGGAAAGAGGAAGTTGTGTTGTGAACTCACTTCACGTGACTTTTCTTTGGTATTAGTCGCTGTTGTCATGGTAACCGGAGACTGGAGATGAAAAGAAAAATGGTTTACAATTTAGAAAATGGGGCATAGTAGTGTATACTATGGGTCTACTCTATGGGGAGTATCTAAGAATAGGTAGAGTCACTATTAAGCCAGACAGGCCTTTCTTTTATACCACCGGTCAACACAAAATAGAGCATATACAGTAACGCACTGGTATACGCTCTTGGGAACACTAGATAGCATATTAATCTTAACATTTAGGGCCAAAAGTAGGCCTACATAATATATAATCTGACCAACAAATGAAGACATGCCAATAAATAGGCTTTTGCCTCGACTTCACTAAACTAAATTGCAAACTCGGTAACTTCTCTGCTGCTGTAGTTCTGTACAGAAATGAGTGAGGGCGCTCTCACATCACAAAAAGACGTTTACTGTAGAATAGAAAGAATCAAAAAAGGAATTGTTTAAAAGGCAAACTTTAACGTGACATCAAGCACATGTGCTCTAACAGACATACAAGACCGGTGGAAAGTTTAGCATGTTTGAAAATAATGTGCAGCCTGGTTCAGACTTGTGAGGCTCAAAGGGGTGCTTGAAATAATGCCTGACAACTACGTTTCCCATCATGCCTCGGGGGTATCGATTTTCCGTCTTCATAGCGGTAGCGTTTTCTTGGTCCATTGCAGCAAAACGCGGATGAGTTGCCGTTAACTTGTATCAGTGATCCCATGTCATTTCAGTATCTCCCTACTGTATTTAGTTTGGATACACTCTGTAGGCAACTTATTACACATTTTGGTGGTATTTTTTTTCTTCTTGAGTTTGAAGAGTCTCTACCTGGGCGCGCGGGACTGAACCAGCGCTCACTGGCAGCATCAGTTTGTGAGTCTTTCTGGACTGAGTCGAGACAGACTCCGCTTCTGACAACGCCTTTCACCCCGGTGTCCGCTTCCTCCGAGCAGCAGCAGCTTGGAAAAGTTAACTCTACAGGGGCTGTTGGACGGGACTGTGCCGCTTGACAACTTATGAAAGACCGACATTCTCTCCACACAATCAGTGAAATTATTTGTGCGTAAAAGTGTAGACATGGGGTGCACGATCAGCGCCGAGGACAAAGCAGCGGTGGAGAGGAGTAAGATGATTGACAAAAACCTACGAGAAGACAGAGAGAAGTCTTCCAGGGAAGTGAAGCTGCTGCTATTAGGTATGGAAGCCGATTTTATGGTTATAATCTACTTTTACTACTATAGTGTGTAAAATCTCTCAGTCGTCCAGGTAGAATCCATGGCAATGGAGAAGTTCAATTTGGGAACTGTACAAACGTTTATTGAGGTCGAAAACGTTTCGCAGCTCACCCAAGCTGCTTTTACTACTGTTGTAGTTTGTCACGCATAGTTATATGCAATAGTAAAATGTATGCATAACGGCAATTTGCCCATTATAGAGGACATTGTTTAAGCCGAACAACACTTAAAAAGTCATACATCGAGTGTCTCTGTTATGACTGTTTTACATTAGGTTGAATTTGTTTACATTTGGTTAGAGTGGAACATATTTGAGCTGTCACTTTGGCTAGACTCAGTTCTTATACACAGACAGTGGGAGGTAAAATGACACACAGGGTGTTGGCTGAGGAGAAGTGCCAGCGGGGAATGAACACAACAGTCTACCCTTCAGATTGTTTATGCTGTCAACTTTTCAACACAGTTATGATCTCCATATCTGACTGGTTTCGTGGGAATAATTTCCATTCAGTATACATGTAGGCTTATGGATTTTTAAGTTTCTGAGTGGGATGAATAAGAAAAAATTCCTAACCACTCACATTTGAGGAAAGTCTTTCTTACTGGAACCTCTGAAATTAATTGAAATATAAATCTTATGCCAAACCAGTAAACATCTTTGCAATACCAAATGTTGCTTCAGTCTGGTTGCATTTTTGGTCCAGATGCCTGTAGTTAGACAAACCATTTTGGTTTTGCACACTGTAATTTTGGTTTATAATTGAGAGAACATACATTGTGAAGAAAGCCTGACAAGAAATGCACTGGCCACTGTGGCTTCTGGCAGCGTTGTTATTATCTGCTCATGTGTTGGAACTCATCTTTACAGCCCTCTACATTAGCATATAGAAAGAAAAACCTTTCTTGTTTCATTTGTTCGATTTTAGGGTTAGCTAGCGCACAACTCCACCATCTCCAGATCTGAGATTTGTTCAAAAGACAAAACTTCCATGGTGAATTACCGTATTATAATTATATAATTATCATTTTCCGGATAGTATCTCACTTGAGGCCTATATAGTAGACTCAGACCTTACCCGGAATATGTGTATGATGATGTACAATGAATTATTCATCAAAATATCCATAAATTTAATGCATAGTCAGAGTCACATGACTGACTTGCTTTCTTTTCAATGGACAACTCACGTCACCCAGAATGTATATGCCATATATTTAAATTACCATAAAAGGGATTGATGAAGGGCTTGCAACTTGTCCCCTGGTTTCAGCTGTTAGGCAATAACTTAAATAACAAGATGATGATCTCAGAAGATATTTGTGGATGGGAAAAGGTTGTGTGAGGGAAGTTCTAAAGAAGGGAAGTATTCACTGTTGTGCAAAATCAAATACAAAAAGACATGAAATTATATGTATCTCTGAGGTGGTAGAATGTATGGGATCTCAGTGCTCTATAAACCCACAAACATAGATAAAAATAAATGGGACACTTTCATAACCTTTATACAATCTAGAAGAATAACCATATGGTACCAGTTAAGCCAGTAATAGTTTTAATAGATGGCAGAGGACCAGTCAAATTGTAGGACAGTGGAGTATCTCTTCCTCATTCGCTGTTTGGTTTCTGTAACATGATCCAATGTAATGCGATTACCACTGGCCCCAGCAGTATTTCCCAAAGTGATGCCAGCACCCAGCACTTTATTAAATGGGTGATTTTAAAGTGCAAATGTTGTTATAGAATCCATTCCCAAGGAACAGCCAGTAAATCATAGCACCAGCACCTACAAGCAACACTTCGCATTATAAGGCTGGCGTTTTATATGGGCTAATAATGTATACTTTATCATGCATAGTTGAGGTTGGATGAGGACTTCTCTGCAAGAGGTCATTAAAACTTCCCACAAATGCAGCAAGTACTTGGTGTCCTCAGTTCCTGTATCCAAAATAGGATGGACTATAAAATTGTCAGTGATGCAATAATAAAAATGAAACTTATTTGCTCTTTAACTTTTATTAGATAGTAGTTATGTTTCGAAAATGCCTCACTTAGTACCATACACTGTTGAATTTCAACCCTGAATCATTATATACCATTACTGAACATTGTTATAGATTCACTGTCTCCACTGTCACACTACAATGATAACCTAATAATGAATTGTACAACTTGTGTTAAGTTTTTCTACTATAACAGAAAAGAAAAGCAAAAGATTAGGTTGCTTCTTTCTATACAGATGTGATGTTTATTATTATTAGAATCCAATATGTATGAAAAAACTTTTCTGTTTAACATATGACAAATGGCAACGTTATTTTTAAGGAGGAAAGTTGTCTCTAAAACACAACTTGTAAGTATCCAAAAATACCAAATCTTAAGCAAAACAACTTTGCTTTGTCTTTGAGCATTTGTCATTGAAATATATTGGATTTTGCAATCCAAACAATATATAAAACAACACATGGATGGCAGACAGACTGGCTATGTAAGTGCGTTTTCATGCTCTGAGCCTGATCTAGGAGATATGCCAGGACAAAAAGCTGCTCTTAACTGTACTTCCTCTCATTTCTGAGTCACCAACGTGTGACCATTCATCAGATGCTTACTGGCTGCTATTGTGCTGAGAGCTTGTGGCCCATTGTGTTTTATGCTTCTATTTTAGCAAGGGAATACAGAATAGGTTAGCTTGTGTATATGTTGGAGCAATTGCAAATGGCTTAAAATTACTGTAGTGAGGAAAAATACAAATGACCCGAAATTCTTTTGTATGGGAGTGGTCATTTTCAACCACAAAAAAGTGAAGCAATTTTTTCCGAGTGCTGTCCTCTTCCCCTGTCTGTGCAAAATTAGATTTATGGGGGAAAAACAAAGCACGGATCGGCTATTTTCCTAATGCAAAACCACCAAAACTGAAGGGACCAATGCATATGCTTGACTGAGTAACAGCTCCCAGTGATTTTTAAATATCTGCATTTTAGATTGTGGTTAAATGGTTCCTGGTTTGGAGACATGGTGTGGTTTTGGATGCCTCTGTCTGTAGCAGTGGTGAGTGAGTTGGCAGAAGGCCATAGCTGATAATGGGCCAGAAATGCTGTGAATGAGAGAGTTCAACAGTATCCGCCCTCCCCTTCTGGTCTGAGAGCATAAATCTCATTTGGTGCTGTTAAACCAGAAGAATTTATGGGTTTAAATCTTGTAGACAGGCATCGGGACACATAACTGCACTGCTAACTGTGACTAAATGTATAAGGGCAGGATTCCCAAATGGGCTGAGGCCAACAACAATAATACTACAATGACTTATCTTAAATCATTTTCCATGCAGACCCAGGCTTTCTATTTTAGTTAAGCAGCACTCCATATTTCACATTCCTTTGTGTAAAAACATCTTCATACTGTGGTCACTAATTACTGTCTGTGGGTATATTAGGAAAATTGTTTTACAGCCAGTGAAAACTCGCTTCACATGTTGATAGGAATAATTTCTCATAATCACTCCACTTAAGCTTATTCAATTATAGTTCATTTACACAAACTGGTACATTTAAAAAGGAATATGTTAGAGATTGACTGATATGGGGTTCTTCATGACTGATGGCAACACGTTTTTTTTTAGAATCCAGAGCAGCTGTTGGCCGATAACATCTGCTAATATTCTAAGGAAGGAAAATTTGGAACAGATTTTAATCATTTTCCCCAAAGCATATGATTTATATTTGAATATGCGATTACACAACTCAATTACCGTCTAAACAATCCACAGCCCTGTTTTACTACAAATCTTCACTCACATTTAGCATAGAGTGTGTTCTTTGACCTGAAGGGTTCAAGTAAAGCTTTGCCTTTTCTTTAAGCAGGTGGTCAGCCCAAACAAAATACTGGCTGGAGATTTATAGCCAGTGCTCTAAAAGTGCAAAGATCGGCCAAACGATATATCTATGTCTACATATGTGTTTGACAGGTTTTCACTTTATGTTATGTCAACTTTTTTGTGATTCAGTTTGTTGAGGTGATAGCCATGTGTTGTTAGAATGGCTGTAACTCTTAATGTTGCTTAGGACTTGCTGTGCTCTAGATTTTTAGCCAATCACCAACTTGTTATTTGATAAGCTAACTCCCCTCTGATGGACAATGAACTTCCTTATGTGTTTCTTAGTTCATGCTAGAATCATACTAAAAAGTTCTAAACGTTCTGGTCTCAGCTTGAACATTACTCCATTAATCTACTGTATTTGTTTATGTTTTTGGGGCTGACATGTTGACAGAGTTTGTTATTGCATTTGATGCGTCGGTGTCTCTGGTGGAAAAACGCTGCCTCAGCCAAAAGCTTGACAACTGTTTCCTGTTCAACTGATTGTTGGAGCAATGCAGTGATTGGACCTTATGGTGAAACAAGCTCAGATTCTTACACAAATGCTCTCTGGTTCTCCTGTTAGCGTCACACTGAAGTTTACACAGTTGCATCATCTGTTTAATGGGACCACATGACTCTGCACATGTCTCCTCTGCTTCATGAAAGAGCAGTTGGTGGTGACTGATTGTAGATTCAAAACTACTTATGGTTGTTTGAATATGGCACATTCAAAATACACACACAAATAATGTCTTGTTTTTGGCACATGTTGTTGTATATTGTATCAGATTCAAAGCCAATAATTCAGTAAAAGTGAGAGACAATACAATTTGCAATCATCCCTTGTATGCACATGTACCTAACTATTTCTGTATTTTTTCAGGTGCTGGTGAATCTGGGAAAAGTACAATAGTGAAGCAGATGAAGTAAGTGCATATTTAAATTGGTCACTTCTCCTCTACTCTATTTCCAGGAATTGTATTTTTCAGTTCCTAAGATTTTAACTGCTATTATTCATTATATGCCAGAACAATAGCAAGTCTCTTGTATTTGAATTTAAAGTTGTGATCTTATAACAACAGGTTTTATTGTCAGTTAACATTAACTTATGATGTATGGCCACACCAACTTGATATTGCCCAATCTCATCTGATCTTGGAAGTGAAATATGGTTGTGCCTGGTTAGTGCTGGAAATACATGTTGTAGTGGAGTAACAGTGGTTTCTGCTGGGACAAATAAATACAGTTTTGTAACAAATTTTGAAGTATGATATATTGTTGAAGAAAATATAGACGATAAACATAATAATATTTATTTTTTTTAAGCCAAGGACTAACTCTACAGCATGGTTATGCCCAAAAACTATTCTAAATGTATAATATTCTTACAAAAAAACACAAACCACATTGAATAAATGGCAGAATTCATCACTATAGTTGTTAGTTTGTATCTGTTATTAGCCATAGAATTTATTTAACCCTCCCCAGCACAAATCTGGTACAGAAAAATACCAAAAAGTTTCTCGATAGTACAAAGAAAAAGTCCCCATGATAAATATTGACCGCCAGAATGTTGTTCCACCTTATATATTGCTAAGTTGATATAGTAATTATCATAACAGGCCCACACATCTCCCAAATTGCCTCATGGGTCTAATCTGGCATGTTTATAGCATGAATATGATGTACGTTCATTAACATACACTGTCCCAACCAAATAAACAACTGTTGAGAAGCTGGTCTGTTAGCAATGCTTGTTCAAAATTAATCATCATTAGCCGTGCTTAAGAGTTGTTATTGTAGTGACTATTTTTGCAAACCACATGATTTTTTTCTGCTGTCGATTTTGCAGTCCATGTCTCAGTGATTTACTAAATGGTTTTATGTAATACTCCTACGTCCCCATTTAACAATTTCTCTCCATGACATTGACAGAGGACTCCCACTCCTAACGGCTGACAGTCAGAGGTTAATAACGCGGTGATACAAACTCGGTTCATATTTGAAATACCTCAGTTTGCTTTGGCAGAAAATGAAGCTTTCTTTTCCATAACATGTGAAACAATAGTCACAGAGGCCAGTGCGAGCCTGGCAGCCACTGAATAGACTGGTAGTTCCCACATTAGCCATGCGGCGTGCTCAGTGAGGTGCAAACTCCAGCGATAATGATGACAGATCCTTCTCTCTATCTCTCACACATTATCTCCACTCTATTGTTTATTGGGTTGTGCAGGATCTTTAGTAAAGTTTTTTATTTTGTCTGTTGCAGAATCATTCATGAAGATGGTTACTCAGAAGAAGAATGCAAGCAGTACAAAGTGGTGGTCTACAGCAATACAATACAGTCCATAATGGCCATCATCAGAGCAATGGGCCGCTTAAAGATAGACTTCGGAGATCCAGCTCGAGCAGTATGTTATAAAACTTTTCACCATTTTTCTTTTTTTTATATCTATACTTAGAGCTGGACACCTCTTATTTTTTCTTTACCAGTACCACCTGTTTTATGGTACCTAAACAATAAAACAAAATGATTATTATTATTGTTATTATTATTATTATTATTATAGTAGTAGTAGTAGTAGTAGTAGTAGTAGTAGTAGTAGTAGTAGTAGTAGTAGTAGTAATAGTAGTAGTAGTATTAATAACAGTAATAATAATAATAAAAACTACTAAACTGTAGTTTATTGGCATTGGTGGTTCAGTGGTTCAAACCAGTTGGGTTGTTGTGTCTTTACCCACCTCTTGTTTAGCGGAGATGTATTTTGTATTACTATATTTCTGTATTTTATTTTTATCTGTACATACACATTTATATAATTATGCCTTATTTGACACCAGTCTCTTACTATAACTCAAATTATTTTGAATGTTTTATTATCAGTTTTATGTTGTTGCTCTCTTATAATATATCAAGATGTATGTGGATCAACAAAGTTTGTCTAAAGGCCACCAAACACTACAAGAGAATTTGCTTGATTTTGGCTGCGATTTGCTTCTCCCCGAGTTCCGAGAGGCGTGACCCAACTTTGTGTCTTCATGTGCAGTTTTGGAGCCGCAGCACTCCTCATGTGTGTATCAGTGTGACTTTGAGCTGCACTGTTATCAGCAACATCAGCAACAGAAGCACAAGATACAAGCTCAGGAAATAGTGAAAATAATGCCTTATTACTTTATTGCTCACCTCTCGTAAAGTTGTAACTTTAAACTGCAGCATTTCATCCTCATTATTCCTAGAATTTGCTCCCTGCAAATAATGACACTCAGTCCATAAAACTGCTCCCAACTTTTTAGCCTGTGAAATGCAGCCATGTCCCACTGCAGTCTTTGCGATCTGAGATTTAAAATCTCGTAAGATTCTCCTCATATCTGTGGTGTGCACTTTTTGTGACCGAAAAGACCAAAAAAGACATTTAACCCAATTAACCCTAACCGAAAAAAGACATTTTACCCATTTTGCCTAAATATGAATGTGATGAATGTGTGACTGATTGGGGGCAGATGGCGCACCTTTGCTGTCTGCCCATACAAAAGTACCGCAGTTTACAATCACCAAGTTTGGAGTGAACGAGTAAGGCAATGTAAAGCACCTTTGAGTATCCAAAAGAGCGTTTATAAATCAAATGCATCAATAGTATTATTATTTCTCCAGGATGACGCCCGGCAGCTGTTTACTCTGGCCAGTTCAGCAGAAGAGGGAGTGATGTCGGCTGAACTGTCCCGTGTGATCAGACGCCTCTGGACCGATGAGGGGGTCCAGGCCTGTTTTGATCGTTCCAGAGAGTACCAGCTCAATGACTCTGCCGCTTAGTAAGTCTCTGTATAATCCCTCCTCATACGCACTGCTCTGTCCAAGGGCAAAATGTGATCATAATTCATTCAGTGTGAGGAGGACAAAAGCTGCCAGCTGGTCCAGAAACAATCACACATCAGGTATCCCAAATAATACAGCTATTGTTGTGTTTGTGATACTAACAGTGCTGCTTCAGTGCAATGACAGAAAAAGTGTTATTGTTTTATCAGTTTATTAGTGATACTATAGCTAAAGAATCTCAACTTCACTTGAACGTTCAAGTTCAAGAATACTGTAACTGGCCTAACCGAATCCTTAAACTGGCACTGACATGCAACTCCTACAGATAAACCCTTCTTTGTCCCCCAGAAGGTAGTAAGATTAAGCAGAACCCCGGTAGTAGACTAGTAGGTCGTAGTCGTACTTGCACTACGATTTGAGAGCCAATGTGGGAGTACATAGTAATTAGATGCTGTTATATTTTCCATCCAGTGTGTGATAACATTTTTATGACTTGGGTTTTCCTGTTTTATTTGTTGAAATAATTGAAGATGAGGAAGGCTTGTTGGTGCATGTTTTATTATCAGACTTACTGCATAATGTTACCTGCTAAAGTAAAAGCCTTGTCCTTGTATTAATATTACTATGATTCTGAAAAGGGGAGTTCTATAGCAGCAACAACTGGAGACGACTTGCAAAATGACAATATAAAGTGGTAAATAGAACCATTACAGTTGGTAAAATGAGATGAGTTCTGGTTGAGTAGTTTTCAGCTGCACATTTTGGTCTTTCAAATGTTCAAATGGTTCTGGGTCTTTTTAAAATGTACACCATGATAAAAATGCAACTATTATAACTATTAAAGTTGCAAATTTAATCACAAAAATTACATATTCTAATTTGTTCCACCCTTGTGTTAAATGAAACATGAAGACTCTGGTGGAGTGTTTGTGTGAAGGGCATGAGTTTTGTTGTGAAAACAGTTGATCTGTCGTGGCGCTCAGTGCATTCTGTCCTCACAATAAGACTCAAGGGCCAGTGGAGCTAAGTCTGTTTTTACTCAACCCACCACAAGCCTTGTGTTTATTATTCACCAAAATATGAGCCCTTATTTAGTATCACTCTGCGCAGCCCCAGATGTCGAACAGACCTCCACAGACATGTACAAGCAAGAAACTGTGCACTGGAAAAGCAATGAATTATTATTAGGTTGTGTGTAAAAATGAAGATATGTCGTGTAGGGCCATTTTAACACACACTACTGCAAATTTACAGCATGTAGAATTTTCCATGTTTAAAGGTCAGCTATGTAACCTCTTGGTAGAGGGTACGCCACCTGCTTGTCTCCATGGAGATGTTATTGCTTTGCACTTGATAAATGCAAGATATAAACATTTAATGATATGAGAATAATTATAATAATGACATTCCAAGTAAATGCATTGACATCTCTATAATATGATGGCAGAACCTCCATCAAGTAAAATTAAATAGTCAGTGTTTCGATAAAATGTTGGCGAACTCTGATTGGCCCAAAGCTACACGCAATAAAACCAAATTTCAACGTAAACAAAAGAGGATTTTTCTCTGTGCTATATAAGTGCAGCTTATGTTGTATGAGGTTCAGTACATTATAAGAATCCATACATATAAATACTCTTATTATATTCTTAGCGTGCAAAAATAAAATTTTGTGTCAGTTGATTTCCTTAAATGGTGCTGTTGAATGCCAAGAAGAAATGGCATGAGGAGTATGTTGTGAATTAACCCTTGTCATGAATGATATTGAAACATTAACTGTGGATCACATTGGTGTCACTTGGTTTACGTAGTACTTCAGCTTCATTTGCTTGTGCAATATTGGTCAAATGGAGAAGCATGTTATTAAAAGGAAGCTTCACTTTTGCAATTGCACATTTTTTCAAAACTACTGACATATCATTTCAACTCAGTGTTTCTGGTAATTGATTAAGTCACTTCTTCTATGTAATGACCTAAAATGTCTAGCTCTTAGGATTAGGGATGTTAGAATTAATCTGTGTACAATTAGTTGGGATATTTGTAGTTGAATAGAATGTAATTAAATATGAAAAAGGGAAAATTGTGATTTAATAAAGCCGGTCACATATCACAATATCAATATGACAACCTATAAAACTGACAATTCAAATGATTAACAGATTTGACTTTTCAAGATTTCAATACCCTGCTACCATTAAGATTTTCTCTTACAGTCTTACAGTCTGCTAGTCTTATATGTATTGTATTGTTTTTTCCTGCAGCTACCTGAATGACCTGGACCGTATCTGTGAGTCTGGGTACGTGCCAACGCAGCAAGACGTGCTACGAACCAGAGTCAAGACCACGGGCATCGTCGAGACTCACTTCACCTTCAAAGATCTCTACTTCAAGTCAGTTCATTAGCTTAGACCCTGGCATGTTCTACAAAAGCAACTAATTAAATTTTATATGGAGTTAAACAGTGGGGTGGTTTATTGTTAGAGTCAGCAGTAACAGTAAAAGTTGCTGTAAAAGTCACTTCTAAAGGCAATTAAAAAGTACCAAAGCTTTGACCATGTTACAAGTGTGAAAGTGTGTATTTTAGTTTTACGATGTTGCTATGGGCTGCACTATGTCTCCTTTGGATCCTAGCAACAACAATGACAACACCTAGTTCATGCAGCTCATATATCTAATGACTTCTACAGTACTTTGACGTAATTATATTGCAAACAAAGAGACATCGTGAGGCCGCTTTGGGGAACAGGTTTACATAGCTAGAATGTTTATATTGGCAGAGGTGAAAGATGTACTGCAAATGTGCATTGAGTAAATATAATTGTAGTGCTTAATTAAAAGCAAGTATATTAATATATGCTTAAAGTAGTAAGTAGTAGTACTAGTAGTATTGCTATTGCTCCACTATGCTTGTGAGTTACCATAACTTTTACTGCAACTATATGTACTGTTTATAGGCTTTAATGGTAAACAGTGCCATGAAAAACATGTATTTGAAGTGTGATCAAACTTGCATCTCCAAAGATCTGGCCCATAACTTGGCCTGTTTGCTTCCATTAAGATAATTTTAATGCCATACTGTGGAACATTCCAGACAAAGCAATAACTCCATGGAGACAAGAAGGTGGCGGTTACATTGTGCACCTCTAATGTGTATTTTTAGGTATTGATTCAACCAAATTATACTCTATTAGATCTGGTTTCTTTTAGCCCATTGAATACTTACATAACGTTCACACTAGTACAATTCATATTTTTGTTTTTTACCTGCAAGGATTACATAACTATTTTACTCTGAATTTGAGTCCATTAAGCTGAATGATTTGCTTACAAATCCAAAATCCCTTCCCTTGGTTTAGTACTTCCCTATGATGACCAACATACAATTTAAGTGATTACATTGAGTCCATTTACATTATTTTGTCTAGCAGGCTGTACTTATAAATATTGGTAGAACATTAACTGTGATAGCCTCTATGACCTGCCTTGGGATGGTGTAAACATAGAATTGAAGAGCACAGCATGGGACCATTTCATTTTGGTTTAGCACTGTTACAGAGAGGGGTGCAGGTGCCAGTGATACAAACATGAGATTATGAAGTCAGGACACCTGTCTGTTGTTTTTGATGATTTAACAGACTTTTGCAGACAAACTTTGCATTTTAAGGTGCACTATGTAAGTTTTCTGATGGGGTCTGTCACCTATTTGTCTTCATGGGCATGATTGTTTTCCTGGAATGCTATGGTATTAAACTTATCTATCTTGACGTAGTTCAATTAAAGGTGTTTTAAGTGCTATAGAAATGCTCAGACAATCATGAATTATCACTATGAGGAGTCAACTTTCCACTGATTTGACCTGAAACTTGGCCTGATGGCATCACCTGCTTGTCTCCACCGAGATGAATCGGTTTAAATCTATAGTGTGAAACATTCCAGGCAAAGCAATAACATCTCTTTGGAGACAAAGAGGTGACGGATTCTCCTCTAGAAAAGTTACATATTGTACCTTTAAATGCAAGTGTGTTTTGATGGGAGCAAAAGACAAAACAATGATTACTATTCAACACTAATAAGGACATGCTTTTAGAAATTATAACTATAAATGCACCCAGTCCCAGGATTCAATATTTTTTCTATGTTTTAGGATGTTTGATGTGGGGGGGCAGCGCTCGGAGAGGAAAAAGTGGATCCACTGTTTTGAAGGCGTCACCGCAATCATCTTCTGTGTCGCCCTCAGTGATTATGACCTGGTTTTGGCAGAGGACGAGGAGATGGTAAATATAATATTTTTTTGTTTTTTTGTAATATTTTTAACTTGATACAAACCAGGGCATTGATAACTCTTTAAACTATTCTCCATCTCACCAACGCAACTGTGCAAAGTGAAGTTGCTGAAAGAGACATCCTATACCCTGTAGAAGAAAAACCTTGACAATTATTAATTTAAATGTGACATTTTTATTGAGATTTACCAGTTTTCCCCTTTATTGGTAGTTAAAAAAACATCTTTCTGGAGGTGGCATGTCACCTGCATGATTCTATGCATAAAGAAAGTAAAAACCATACAACATACTCCATGGAAACAGATACGTTTTATGCCATACTGTGGAATATTATAGCCAAAGGAGCCATGTCCCATGGAAAGAAGCAGAAAGAGGCTATCTTTCAGGCCAAATAAATCAAATAATGAGGTTTGTGAAGATGCAAGCATTCTTCAGTGCAGTAAAAACATACTTTTATTTTTTATACTTTTTATTTTATTCAGTTTTTTATTCTAAAAAGTTACGCAATGGGGCTTTAAATTAAAGTAACAAAAAACTGGCAATTTCCTGTTAGTGCTACTATCATTTAAATGAAGAAGGCAAAATTTTTCACCGCTAAAACCCCTGCTCAATAAATACCTCATAAAAAGGCCCATTTAATTGTCATTTATATTTTATTTTCCTAATGTACTCCCATGCACTTCACCTTAGCTACAATCTCTGTAGGCCAATAACTGATGATGATGATGTTGTCTTTGTTCTTCATATTTTATTTTTAACCCTCACTATGTTTGTTGATTTGTTAAATTAAGAAAAGTAATATACAAAATGTAAATACAAATTTAAATGACAATTAAAAGAATTATAATATTAGTCTTTTGTTTGTCTCAGAATCGAATGCACGAGAGCATGAAGCTGTTTGACTCCATCTGTAACAACAAGTGGTTCACACTCACCTCCATCATCTTGTTCCTGAACAAGAAGGACCTGTTTGAGGAAAAGATCACACGCAGCCCTCTCACCATCTGCTATCCCGAATACACAGGTACAGCCCAGCAAGTGCAGCTTTCTGGGAACACACACAACACATCTGCTGTTTCTTTGTTTTGTTTTGTTGAAGTATTGTTGAGTTTGTTGTACAGTTATTTAATGAGATAACAGTTTTTTCTATTGCACATAGTTTTTATTACATTGTTAACCAGATCAAAGTGGATACACTGACTGAAGATTTAATAATACCGTCTATATTATTAAAAACGTAAACAATTCAACAACCATTATAGCTGGTTGTTCACAGTTAACTTGATTTATCATTACAGGACTGATAATGTGTGAGACATTATGCAGTAAGCATTGGTATTTCCTGAGAATGCACTTCCTCTGCTATGGTATAAAGAAGTGAAGCAGTTTAAATTAGGCTCAAGTTAGGATACATCTTAGTGAAAGTAATCTATTTTACTCATTTATCAGAGAAGGTATTTTAAAAATTAAGTCATAAGGTGGAACCGAGCTTTTTGAGCTGAAGCCCCTATTTCTTGCAAAAACAATTTAACATTAACAACACAAATTAGGCTGGTATTTTAGGATATAGAAGCTCATTTATAGGCCTTTCAAAGTTAAACTAGACTTTGGAACTTTACATCCTGCATAATATTGAAATACACAATATTGATCTAAAATGGCTTAATGAAATTTCTCCATGACTTTTAGTTTAAAATCCCAGAACTAAATTCTCTTCATTGTGGCATTTCACTGTGGCAAGCAGCCAAATTTCATTTACTTGTTTTTGTTTAAAATGGCTACACGGCACCTACATATAGTCTGAATGTACTAATAATCGCAAGTAAGTATAGAGCTGTGGGCAGGTATGTAGTGGTAGGTGATACAGTAATGTTCTGTGCACTCAAGCCTCAAATGCAGGACAGTGTGGGATTACTCAAACATGCATGAATTGACAAAATACAAGTAAGCTAATGATGAGGGAACACATGGTCCAAAGCCAACCAGTCAGTTTTGTCTAATATGTCCCCTTTCCCCTTGCCTATCTCCTTTCTGTTGTAGGTGGGCACTCATACGAGGAGGCAGCCGCGTACATCCAGTGTCAGTTTGAAGACCTTAACAAACGGAAGGACACTAAAGAGATCTACACTCACTTCACCTGTGCCACAGACACCAAGAACGTGCAGTTTGTGTTTGACGCTGTCACTGATGTCATTATTAAGTTCAACCTGCGAGAGATAGGCCTCTACTGATGCTCCACACACCAGGCAAGTGGCACTCATATACACCAACATTAAAATATTATAACACAAATGGTGCAATTATTTGTACTTATACATTATATATGTACATTATTTATCAAAGAAATTTGCACATTGTTACTTACAAGGGTATATACTTGTACTGTGTTTACAATGTTCAGTTCAATGTTCAGTCTACAATCGTTGCACAAGTCTTTGTTTATAGTAATGGTGGTGGTATTTATTTATCTTTTTAAATAATTTATTATTTTAGCTTTCAAGTTTGGTGTACTATATTTGTTTTGGAAATAAAGCAAATCACACTGATAAATTCTGAATTATTGTTCATTTGAGCATTTGTACTTCGGGCACCCAAATGGCTAGCAATGGCCCTGTATAAAGTCTGATATTTGGACTTTTTAGCATACTGGCTATCAGCCTTAAATCTCCAGCATAGGCAATATTTTATTTTGGTCAATCTGCTGCCTAACAAATACACACAAAGCTTTATTTTAACACATTAATATGAACAGAAAACTGCACAAAATGTGATTACACAGCTTTCTTGGTGTGTGGTCAAAGGACTGTGGGTGAGTTTGTAGGAAATTTAAATTACATGGTTTGATATTCATATTTGAAATAATGAAAATTGTAGTCAGGGAGCCAAAGTCTCAAAAGCTCTAGAAAATGGGTTGAACCTCACATCGCCTGCCATACTTTTTATTAGTGTTTTTTTTTGTTAACTGTGACCCTGAGGACCAATAATTGGAGGGTCTGCTCTTCCGGAAATATCGTGAAAAAAAATTGTGGCCATTTTAGTGTAGGTAACCTTAATTTTGTGATAGAAAATTTTGAAAAATTTCTTCAAATCCTCAGTGGATTGGGTAAGTTGTCTACAAATACATTCCAGATGCAAGGAACACATGTGGTGACAACATTCAGTGAAGAAAAATATTCATAAAACACATTTCTACATGATTTTGGCTCAATTTAATGCCAAAAAATAAGGCATTTTTTCACTTTTTTCCAATATTTTCATCTTTACTTCATTGGCAATCAACTATTCCCCCAAGTTTTGACATCAACCAATATGCCATTGTTTTCTTCAAACAGTATAGTCATTCCACAGAAAAAAAATATTAAAATCCAACCAAAATCAATGGATCTGTGATGATTTCTTTACCATCAACAGGCCCAGAACTTCAATAGAATGTTAGGCTACTCTCAACATTCCATAAGGCACACTGGATATTTAGCATGGTTGTTAATGTCCACATTATTAAACATCATGGTCCCTCGCTCCACCTTGTTCACGAATTTAAAAAGTCAACGCCAAAGTGAAAGGCACCAGCTGTTCACCAAGAAACACCTTCCACTGCAAAGAGACCAAGACGTGATGTTGCTCTAAAACCACAAGAACAAGAAAGTGTGAGCTCAGCCTGTTTTTCTTCTGTACGTCTCACTTAACAATCGGGATTTTACTTTGATGGTGCTCCACATACAAATGTTCTCTGCAAACTCAGGATAAGTTAGGAAGTCAAAGGTTTCCTTCTTGGTTCTTCCTGTGGATCAATCCTGCCCATCACCTTCACCTTTCACTATTTTTCAATTCCGTTTGAAACAGTTTGAACAGAGGTTTGAGTCACACACATCTGATTCACTTTTGTATTTATGGAGTTTGCAAACAAATTTCTCAAGTCGTTTTCCGCTGTTAGGATCCAACAACCACACAATTAACGATATCTGAATCACAAAACTAAAATATGACAATATCAGAACCAGAAACAAAAGTGATATGGTTCAAAAGATTTGAAAAGATCGACTTTGACAATAAACACATCCCACTGGGAAAACAAACATGGAAGTTTGACGCTCACTTTTTTGGAAAATCCTTCCCAGTATGGATTGCACAATGACCGGAAGTCTGAGATTCTTGATGCATCTATAGGATGCCCAACAAAAACTTTGGCGTAGCCAAACCAAATTTGGTACACGGATGCACCATGGGAATAGGGACAAAAAAGTATATTAACAGGAAGTCGGCCATATTGTACTGATCGCGCGACTCGGCACCAAAGGAGCATTTTCTTGTCCTCATATTTGAAGGAACTCATCCTAAGGTGTTTGACCCACACTCACTAGAATCATTCTGTATCATCTAGACGAGTGAGACATTAAAAGTTGTTTAAAGCTTTTTAAAACAGTGTTGCTGTGGCAACGGGGCAAATTTCGGGTTCGTTTTTGCAGCTCGCCATCAAACTTCAACGCGTGATAATTCACACAAACTTTGGCCAAGTTCACTCAAACTTTAATTGTTGGTGGACAGTCCGACCCTGAACAGATTTATATAAGAAAATCTAAACTGGACGCAATAGCGCCCCCTAGGGAGGTTGTATAGAACAATAAAATTTTACTTTGTCGTAGGCATGTAAAATTTGGTACACACATCCGTGGCCTGGTCTTAATGAAAAAAGTCAATGACGCCCACACTCCATCTCCCATCGTGTTGCCATGGCAACTGGCCAAAAATCTGTCTTCACCAAGGGGACGTCCCAACAAAAACTTTGATGTACTCAAACCAAATTCACTACACAGATGCATCATGGGAATAGGAACAATAAAGTATATTGTGACCACGCTCTCTCCCAAACCGGAAGTCCACCATCTTGGATTTAAAAAAAAAAAAAAATCAACACATACAGAAATTGAGAAAAATAGTAGGGTTCGGTTAAGATTAGGGGTTAGGTTAGGGGTAAGATTCAGGTTAGGGCTATGGTTAGGAGTTCACGTAGGTTTAGGGGTTAGTGTTAATTTAGAAGCTAGATCAATGAGTAAGGTGCATTCGTGGGACACGGCATGTGCAGAGCTCAACGTGGCCGGGGTGCGGCGTGGCATGGGCGTGGCATAGGCTCGAGCAAGGGCCGATCATTGCCGCTTGCGGCTATATTTATTATTATTATTATTATTATTATTATTATTATTATTATTATAAATATTATTATTTAAAAGATGACTAGGCCATGATGTTTAATAATGTGGACATTAACAACCATGCTAAATATCCAGTGTGCCTTGTGGAATGTTGAGAGTAGCCTAACATTCTATTGAGGTTCTGGGCCTGTTGATGGTAAAGAAATCATCACAGATCCATTGATTTTGGTTGGATTTTAATATTTTTTTTTCTGTGGAATGACTATACTGTTTGAAGAAAACAATGGCATATTGGCTGATGTCAAAACTTGGGGGAATAGTTGATTGCCAATGAAGTAAAGATGAAAATATTGGAAAAAAGTGAAAAAATGCCTTATTTTTTTGCATTAAATTGAGTCAAAATCATGTAGAAATGTGTTCTATGAATTTTTTTTCACTGAATGTTGTCACCACATGTGTTCTTTGTATCTGGAATGTATTTGTAGACAGCTTACCCAATCCACTGAGGATTTGAAGAAATTTTTCAAAATTTTCTATCACAAAATGAAGGTTACCTACACTAAAATGGCCACAATTTTTTTTCACGATATTTCCGGAAGAGCAGACCCTCCAATTATTGGTCCTCAGGGTCACAGTTAACAAAAAAAACACAAATAAAAAGTATGGCAGGCGATGTCAGGTTCAACCCATTTTTGAGACTTTGGCTCCCTGACTATGTCTCTACACATCACCCCAAAAATAGTGATAGAGCTTATCAACTCTGGATTATCTGTATTGGCATTGGCCATGAAAATTCCCATATTGGTTGAAATCTAGCTTTTAGTCAGTTGCAACAGATAAAAAAAGAACTTCAAGACCACTCAGATTGAGCACATTAATTTTTTTTTTCTCGTATTTAGTAGCATCTTTTAGACGAGATCACTATCATAGCATATGCAAATATAAATAAATTACCTACCTGTAACCTGTAATACTACTTTATATGTGCTGTTGTGTAATCTAAAGTTCTTATTCTTGTTTCTTACAGCACCACTTTATTTTTCTCTTCAGATCTTTGAAGCTGTATTGCCAGAATGCCAATTCTGCAGAAGACCATTTGTAAAGTAGGTACAAATAACGACTCAACCAGTATTGGAACAGACACAAGGATTTTCAATGGGTATTTGAACAGACATTGTCCTGTGCCCTAGTAGAAACTAAAGGGTCAGAAAGTTTGTAAGTTTGTGTCTGGAGTCCCAAAGTCTTAAAGACATTGTTCAAGGGCTCTGTCAACTCATTTTACACTTATGTAAATATATTGCACTTGTCTACTCATTTACCTTTCTGTCATAGTGCTATTTACTCAGATTTGTTGTTTTGGGGCCATAGTAACTTCACTTGTCAATAATTATTTGTACAGTATGTTTTTGTGCTCACCGTTGTATTGTGTAGAACAATGTGTAGAACAATCTATGCTTTTGTAATTCAACCACATCTTACTGTTTTTATACTTGACACATCATTGCGGTGGAGAAGAACATTGTTTTTAGATGTGTTTTTGTCAAGTTTGGAGCAGATTATATGAATCCTATGGATATTTATGATGGAAATATGGGGATCTTCTAAAGTTATAAATAATAATACATCAGTGTATGTCCAAGTGTGTTTTGCTAATAGAAAGTCACTGGCACTACTTTTGTTAAATATTACAATTGTCAACTTTTCAAAAAAAAAAAGATTTGTAAATTTCCTTTAGGTGGTTCTTCTAAATATTAAATAATGCCACAAATCTCTCTTCTCTTTGTGTTATTTATTTACAATTTGTGGTGAAGACTTGAAGCATTTCCTGTTTGGCTGATTATGATTGTAAATGTCCAAAATTATTACATGCATCCATTAATTATGTATATAACAGAGGTAATTCTGGCCTGGTAAGTGGCCAGTCTTACATTTGCTGCTTGTTTGTAAGACCTGCCTGAGGCTTTAGGAGTGTTTGTGACCTTTCTGACCCACTGAGCTATGAACACAATAAATCATGTGTGGACAGAGGAAGCGAGATCCTGTGATGTTGTAGTTGGATTTGTGACTTTTTTAAAAACTGCTGCTAACTGTGCCTATGGTCCAATCCACACACTGAAGAACCTCTAACCCTGACAGCCTGATAAAGTACTCTCCATTTGGCTCTGTGCTCAGTGCCTTTATTGTTAAGCTCTGTTTCCTTTGAACCTCACAGCTCAAACATGGAATTGGCAATGAGCTGCTTTATGCATGTTCTTTGCTGATGTCAAACTCATGTGGGAGGTTAGGTCTTATTTTTAATAAAATATTTATGTCATATGTACAATGTCTCTGTATGTCCCATCTAAAAGCACATTTGGAATAGAGCTTTTGACTGGCCCAAGTTCTCACATTCACATATTATCACAACTTTCTCAAGTGCGAGATCATGAAGCACAGAGAGAAATTCTGTGGTAGAATTTGTTGCTACATTTAGAGGTTTTGACCTGGTTCATAGTCAACATATCTGTCTTTTGTCATCTTTTTTATTTTATTTGAAAAATAGTTAAATTCAAGAATAGTATTTAGTGTGAAACTGTTTCTGTCCTCTGATTGTCTCTCGAGTTTCAGATAAAGTCCCTGTTTTTGCTATTTATGTCTATGGACCCAAACAAAGGTGATGATGTCACACTTAACATTCCCATTTATATGGAGTATCCACGGTTGTTAAAAAGACAGCATTGAGCATTAAAGATTAATAATAGACTAATACAATATAATACTGTATAAAAAAGATGGCATATTCTGTAGTCCCTCAGTTATCCAAATGAGTTCCACTGCAACTAAAGGTGTCAGAAAGTATTATAACTTAACTGTTGTCAGGAATAGGTTTCAAGAGAAGACAACTTTCTTGGCAATGTGATTACAAAATCCATAATCTTCATCACATTGCTTTTTACATCAGATTTTTGTATCAAATTTTACAATGGGACCCTGTCAACTCTCCAGGCTCATAGAATGTTATGCCATCACACGAAAACAACCTTTTGGACACACACTGTTACACATCACACATAAACTGGAAAAATGTGAAGTTAATGCATCTTTATTTCATGCCTCTAAATTTCATAAGAAAGGACAAACTTGTCATTTTCATTCAGATTTTAAAATAAAACATCCACCCTCTATTGTTCCCTTCTTTCTCATTTACATTTATGAATTATCTTTCAAAATAAAATCCTCTACTCTTATGTACAAAGATTACTACCATGTTTGACTTGAAAATTAAAATTAAAGTGAAAACAATACATCAACACTATTTGGATAGATACATATACAATGTTTGGATGGTAATTGTAATTTGGATATTCTGCAAGCACTGGGCATATCAGGCATATTTACACAGTAACTTTATACATCTTTGATATCAAGACCACAAAAACTACTGTACTCAAAAAAAAAAAAAAAAAAAAAAAGAAAGAAAAGAAATGCAATGCTGCTAGTCAAATTATCGTATTATTCCCATGTTTTATTGTTTTTATTTATTTTTTTGTTTCAATTGTAAATAATACTTATAACACAGTAGTCAAAGGGAAGCAATAAGGACAGTATGTCTAATTTATTCACTTGTTCAAGCAGCTTTGGGATATGTGTCCACAGATTTTGAGGTGTTGGGGCCCAGTGAGATGCTCTCTGCTGCGGGACGTCCCGTTTGGAGATGGAGCAAGAATTGGCAAGGACAGACCTCCACACCCCATCAGTACACTTCTGCTTTAATATATATCCAATATGCAAGGGGCTAAAGTTGGATAGAAACTTCTGCAAAATAGAAAAAATACAGAGAATGAGTCATGTGTAGCTTTTATTGCTTAAGTGCAAGGTTTTTCTGCAGGCATGTTCTTCAAATGAGTCGCCCCAACTTTTTGCATAATGATGAATATGTTATACTTTTGTGATAAATGTACGGTATTTTTGCTATATCCCTACAACTACTGTAACATAATTTCTCACCAAGAAAGAAGCAGACAAGGTTTTAATATTTATTATTTCCATCTATGGTTCAATGATTTACCTTAGTATCAATTTGACTGCTAATAAAGCCAACAACAGTGATAGCCATGAATAACAATAAACCTTTCCCAACTTTTCTCAAGGTTTATAATTGACTGTGACTCAGATAAAACCATATTTTCTGTTACGTTGTTATGGACACAAGCTGTCTCCAGGCAACACGCGGTCAGATCTGGCCAGGTTTTGGTGCTTTTAAATGGAGTCTCAGTCCCAGCTGGGCCCTCTATCACAGTGACTATAACAGAGGCAGCAGGAGTCATGGTGTCCTGCTGAAGCTCACCTCTTTTGTGTGGGGCTGCTTAGAAAAGACCGCAGTCTTTTAGGTTTTCTTTGATGATGATATCTGTCACAGCGTTGAACACAATCTCCACGTTCTTGGTGTCTGTGGCACAGGTCAAGTGGGAGTAGATTTCTTTCACTCCTTTCTTCATGTTCAGCTCCAAAAACTGCGTCTTGATGTAGTTGCTGGCATCGTCATACGTGTTTGGACCTGCAGACAAATAATAACTTAAAAGTTAAATACTTATTACCAACTGGATAAAAATCCACCAACTAATAATTTTGTCACAAAGTATGCCATCAACATGTTCCTCCAAAACTTGACTTAGGTTTAGGTGTTATATAGATTCCAATATTGGAGGGTATTCACAGATATTGTTGTCGGCCCAATAATGAAAATTTTGCCAATATTTAGCACCAATATTTTTTCTAAACTGGATCAGTCGCTGTGTGCTCATGTGTCCCAGTGGCAAATTTGTGTAGTTGAACAGAAAATTGTCAACACTGTAGAAGAGCAATGAAGATAAGGAAGTAGCTATATATTACATAATCATGCAACAAATTATTTTTTTCCCAAATAGATATAATTTATTATCACTTCTATAAAGCTGAAAAGTAAATTTGTTATGCATTGTTGTGCATTTTAAAATGTTAATATCTGCAAAATCTGGTTATTGTCACAGCAGCAAGACAAATCTTAGATATCAAAAATCTATATTCCATAGAACCATTCTAGCTGCTTTTTAAAGAGAGAGAGCACTCACATATTACATAAACACGTATGTATTGCTCTGATGGTTTTAAGAGGTCTTGATTTTTTTTACTGCACTAAAAGAAAATAAGGCATTTATCTAGACCCAAGTAAAATAAAGCAGAATAGGAGTTTTTCACCCATTTAGGCATACATACATGTCTCATATAACTCATATATCAGAGGAACCTTAGTCCTCACCATCATAGTCTGGGAAGCAGATGCTCAGGTGGACCTTCTTGATCTTTTCCTCAAACAGATCCTTCTTGTTGAGGAAGAGCACGATGGAGGTCAGTGCAAAGAATCTGTGGTTGCAAATACTGTTGAATAGATGGAGTGACTCGTGCATGCGGTTCTGCAGAGGATACAAAGCTGTTAGTTACAGCAGTTTTGTTATGTTATATCACTACATGATAGTATTTATAATATACTACTTTATAGAGCAGTGTTTTTGCTGTGGCCAACTCACCACTTCATCATCCTCTACCAGCACCATGTCGTATGCACTGAGAGCTCCACAGAAGATGATACAAGTGACACCCTCAAAACAATGGATCCACTTCTTCCTCTCTGATCTCTGACCTCCCACGTCGAACATCCTGTTAAATCACACACAGTCAGTTTTAAGATTGTAGAATGAGATGAATCAAACCAGCATTCCTGTGTCTGTTATTAGCAATCATCCGGCACAAAATACAGTGAGGGCAATTTTCTTTGCTCAAGGGCACAACGGCAGGATGCACTAATAAGCACAGAGATGAAACCACCGACCTCTGGGTCAGAGGATAAATAACAACTGAACTACTGACACGCGAATACACACCTGAAGTGCAACTCTTTGCAGGAGAACTGTTCTTCAATAATACCAGTGGTTTTGACTCGAGATCGCAGCACGTCCTGTTCAGTAGGCATGTAGTCAGGCTTGCGGATTCGGTCCAGTTCGTTGAGATAGCTATTGAGATGAGAAAAAGAAAGGGGTACTTTATATTGGTGCTTCTCTATATTGCACCAGTAATATTGTAAACATGTTGTTCAGTTATGTGGTAGTGTTACACCTCTGATAGGGAATAATTTAGTAACCCAACGTAAGACCGAAACGAATGTCAAATAAGCACTAATTAGTTACATTATAGGCCTTTTATACCGTCTGCATATTCAACCATATTCTAATGGGGAGATGAATGGGCACTCACTATCCGGCCGAGTCGTTCAGTTGGTACTCAGCAGCTCTCTCGAAGCCAGCCTGCACCCCAGAGTCGGCCCACAGTTTCTGGATGACATCAGCGAGCTCAGGGGGCATTGTGCCTTCTTCAATGGAGTCTGACAAGTTCTGCAGCTTCTGTGCATCCTCCTGCAGGCCACAACATACGTCAGCGAAATTAAACATCTTAGATCATGGCTAAATTGTGTTAGGGCCTAATAATGTCTGTCTGGCGTTCATCTTTGATAGGTGTAATTGGAGACCTGTCCAGAGGGGGAGCCGAAGTTGATGTCCAGCATTTCCATGCCTCTGATGATGGCCAGAGCAGACTGCAGGATGTTGCCGTAGATGACAGCCCTGAACTCCATCTGCTCCTCCTTTGTGTAACCTCCCTGATGCAGAATCCTGGACACACAGAGCAGAAGTAGGTTTATAGGCACACATCAGGTACACTGTCAAACCTATAAAGTTATGGAGGCTGGGCTATAGTGGGACATTATATTAAGATCAATACTGGAGCAAGTTTCTTCAATTAATTTTCCTACATGCAAGGAGAGTCTTAATACAGTACACTAATGTTATTAGCCCAATTAGCAAAAAACAAGATAGTACATATAGAACCAGGTGACCTTAGGCACTATAAAAGGAAAGGTATATTTAGACAAGTGCGAACATCCTTGACTCAACTGTTACATGGCTTTGGCTTGATTATAATCTATTATTATTATGAAAAATTGATTCTTAAAAAAAAGAAAAATAAAAAGCTATGACACCTGCTCACGCTGCCCCCTGGTGGTGAGTTATGTATTGGCTGATACAATATCCACAAATTAGAGCAAGTGTCTGACAGGTGATAATAAATCATGCGGGAGGATGGTCCGGTCACTTTAAACTCTGGATAACAAAAATAGCAGGGACCCTGAACTCCACTGGCCAATGACCACACACCCTCTGATTCAGCACGTGCACTCAGAGAAACTTACTTCATCTGTTTGACGATGGTGCTCTTCCCTGACTCACCAGCGCCTGCAAGAAACATAAAGCAAAGGTATAATATTTGTTTATACTTTTGGCTTTCAGTTTAGTAAGAATTGTGAAGGAAAGGAAATTATTTAGTTTTATACTTCAGAATATGCTGTTTTGTTTTTTTATACTGTCACTTCTTTAGAGTACAAATAATTTATAGGCCTACTTCGATCATTTACAACCTGGACATGATGAGCTAGTAAGCAGTAGTGACATTTTACAACTTTAACATACACATATGTAGATATTGCAAGTAGTCTGATAATTGTTGCTTAACGATACAGTATATCACTTTCTGGAGGTGAAAAGTCAATTGCATGATTCCATGGAAGTGAAAAGTTAAAACTATACTTCAGAACATTTTCATTGGAGTAGTTTTGCAATACTGTGGAAGATTATAGCCAAAGGAACACTGTTTCCATGGAAACTAGCTGGAGGAAGCCCCCCTCCAAGCTAAATAATATACATAATATAATATACTCTACTATATAATATACTAAATAAATAATATGCATTATATGCTCAACTAAAACACAGAATGACCACTGACTGAAATAACACTACATAGAAGAGATGCTTGCTTTTGACTGATTGATTTCATCCAGTGTGAAAGTTTACAAAAGGCAATGCCTTAATGTAAGTGGTGTTTGCACCACCAATAGTATAGACATAGATATAGTTCAAAGTGTCACTAATCCTTAGGACAATAAATGGTATTGTATTGTATTTGCATGTGTTTGTTTATTATCCATACACAGTTATTTTTGAGCAGGCCTGGAGGCAGATCCGGTTGTGAGCTAACCCTGTACTAAACTCCACCCGTTAACGTCACAGACAGGCCCAAAGCTTCAGGCGCTTAGCCCAGACTTATGGTTCAGTGCTTTGTGGCCCTGTTCAACCCTTTAGACGGAGAAAGTCTTAGTCCTATTACTGTGAGCCGTAAATGGCAGCAGAGCTGCAAAGGCTTGGTCCTAATGGTTTCACTACAGTTGTTTTTGGTCATATATTTGTTTTCTAATATAATCAGTCTACAAAACATAGCCATCATTTGCAAATGTATGTGCTCATTTCCTTTACCAACAGTGTGAGCTACTGGCATTATCATCTGATACTCATCCTATAACTGTGTAACTATTTGTAGGGGCTATCTATGCAATGATATAGTATTCTTAAGGATGCATACCTGAATTAAATTATACCAAGTAGATTCATAGGTGGCAATTAACTACTTGCCAAACATAAGATGAAATTTTGGAACAAAAGGATGCACTTTTACAATATGTATCTTGCATCTAATCTGTTAAATATGTTATTTTTTACTTTTGTCTATCCACAACTGAACTGTTTTATTCCCAGTGGTGAAACTCTTACCATGCAACAGCAAATTAATTTAATGCAACTTTTAAGAGCCTGTATAGGTTTTCTCTGGGTGCTTCCTCTACCAAAACCATATAATATACACAATATAGGCTCCCCTCTGGAGCCAGTACTGTTGTGAATTTCCCCTCCCCTAATTCTAAATCTCAGTGGGACTTTTTTTAGTTAAATAAATGAGATATTAATGTTCAAGGAAGCAAACATAATGCCATTTTTTATTCAGTGGTTTGTGACAAGAGGGATCAGAGCAGAGATCAGGGAGATCTGCTGTAAACCTGTTATGGCTAATCGGATTGACATATCGCCACTGTGCTGTGATTCATTTAGACCAAAGGCTGTGATCTCTTAAGCACCAATGTCCTTCTATCACAACTGAAAAGTCACTAAAGAAAGTGCCCATAATTATCATAATAAGTGGGCTCTTTGTGTTTATATTTACCTTTCTGCATAAATTGTTTAAAAACCCGTTTGAGGTAAACTTATTGTGTGCCATGCTAAAATGTTTTGTTGATTTGTAAACACTGACTGCACAAGCCCATAATGTACAATACATAGTATAAAACTGCATAGCTAACCCAGACAACTTTCTCTGAACCTGTTTTCTTGTAATCAAACTCCTTTAAATATTTCAGGCAGGACCAGGAAGAGACCACCCTGAGCTTCTTCCTGTTACTTAACTGTCTCTATGTCTTATGAGTTCATGGGAAATCAATAAACTAATGCCCTATTTTAAAGATGGATGTTAAGTTAATCTGACCATATCTTCCATCAGGCAGCTGGCCCTGAGCTGGTTAAAGCTACTTTCACGGCTCTCATCCAGGATTGATAAAGTATGCCTCAAATGACTCTATCAAATGTACTGAGACGTGCTCATTAACTAATGAGCCTAAAGTCAGTGTGAGGCTGTCTGCCTCCATAATGAACTAAAACTCAGTTTCAGACACATCAGATCGTGCCATTAGAAAACCCAGACCACTCTAAAGTTCTGCAGTGTTACATCTGAAACTCTTGGCTGTTGCTGTTAACTTGAGTGCTACATTTGTTCACCTGAAGTGTCGGTCCAAAACAAATTAATTTGGTCCAAATGCAGAGCCCAGTCTCACCATGTTGTTATTCCTACATCATCACTACATCTACTACACTTCACCAAAGTTAAACAAAGCGTCGACTCACCAAGCAGCAATAGCTTGACAGTTTTCGAGTCCTTGTCTGCATCCTCCTGGAGTTGTTTTTCCAACTCCTTGGATTTTTTATCCTCCGCACTTGCTCCTGCTCCCATCTCTTCCTCAGCAAACTCGAGGTCCTCTAGGATAGAAATTTTGACAATTGTCTGCCAGCACCTACAGAGAATCTAGGTGAAGCACTAATCGCTTCGAAAGGCGATTTCCGAGCGGAAGGAGATTGTGAAGGAGGAGCTTGCACCTCTCGAGCTTTTGGCCTTTCAGTTAGGTGATCAGTTGCGACCCCTTTGAGTTGTAATGCAATTCTGCGCTTTCCTCCCTATATAATTCCCTGGACTTAAAGCTCTGACTTAAAGAGTGTCTCTTCCTGATTGGTCAGTCAATCTGATTAGTGTTTAGGGGCCAATAGTAAATGATGAGAACCACATAGGTAAAGGCCATTGGAAGTCAGTGACTGATCTTCACTTCTGATTGATGCTTTTAGTTTTAGTTTAGGCATTGCCACTGACGTTCATGTTCACACAGAGTTAATATGATCATAGTCACAACTTAAGTCGAGGACATTTCTGAATTGAGTTGCCTCTACTGCAGTGATTGTGTCCACTGCAGTGATTGAGTCCACATAAAGAATATGAATGTATATTGACTGATTGACTCTTGATGGTTCATCACATGGACACAGAGAGGCAGGCATTAAGGCCCTGTAAACTACTTAGAGCTAAGTCATTTTAATCCAGGTGGTGTGTTAGCAGCTAAATAAAGCCACTGTCACTGCTGCACTCTCTTCACGGGGGTCTCACTGTTAACATGACCTAAATGTGTGGCATAGTTACATAATATTGGGCAACCCACCTGAACTGATCCTTGGCACTATAGCATCCTTTTGTGCCATTACTTAGCGATGATCTGTGTGCTTCATCAGAGCAGTGGTTCTGGGCTGTCCTCTCTTCTGGCCTGCTCCACAGAAACACTGGTTCAGTGTCACCAGTGTCAGCATAGGCCAGTGAATCAATGCTTTTGCCTAATCTTTACCAACAGATTTCTTTATTATTTGTAAATGCGTTGTGGAATAAAATAGTTGGTATAATTATAATGCATTACACTTACATTGTGCTTTACTAGCTTGGCGAGCCTCTCAGAGCACTACTCTGTAGCCACTATTCATTCACTTTTACTGCTGGTAAGCTACTTCATTAGCCACAGCTACTCTGCAGACTGACACAGACCCTAAACCTGAACCCCTTAATCACTGTTTTTGCATCTCATTGTAGGTCAATATGCCATTCATGAGAATTCTAAGCTTTTCTCATGCGGATGAGCCTTCTGTGAAGCATTAGACAATCTTCATCTCAGTTCTTTGTTTGAGTAGCAGGTGAACAGTGTCCTTCTTGTGTCCAGACAGTTCTAGATCTGCTTCAGTGACGTCACGGTCAAATAGGCTCAGTGGGCATATACAGGATTGACAGACAGAGCAGAGCACAGTCAGATGAATGTTATGTGAATGTTAGAATGCGTGCAAAATGCTGTCTTTATGGAGGCCCACACAGAGAGATTCTCTCAGAAATCCGCTTCACCTGCATATAATATAAATGCCATAATAATAATCCTTTGTACTGTTTACTGAATCAAAGAAGCACTGACTAGTATTTTTGTATCTTGCAGTAATAGTTACCACAGTGACAGAGACCACAACAATCCACAAACCTCCAAGCAGGCTAATTGAGAGGGTACTAGTGCTGTTGGGCCAATCTCATTAGAAGTGAGGATGGTGCAGACCTGCTTTACTCAGGCCTCGCTCTCCTGATCCTCTGTTAAAGGGATTATACTCAGAGCCAGAGCCACTCCTCCGACAGGGGCTTAACACACAGGCTGGGGGCACAGTATACATCTCATACTGTTTTAATATTACTATTATGAGGTTGGCGATGGACTGGTGGTGAATATAGGACTGTACAATTGCAATTCTAAAATTTTTTATAATTTTGGTTTTAAAAAAGTGAGAAGAAACAATAATTCTGAATGAACAAATCCCTAAATTACTGTGTATTAAATCCAATCCAAGTGTTATTTGAGGTGATATGGTAAACAAGTAAACAATACTAATAAATAAAACTAGAAAAGCACTCAGAGAGCGCAGACCTCCACCAAGGACTACAGTCCCCCTTATATTAATTGTGTTTTCCATAAATATTTGTCTCGTATCTTTCAATTTGGAATATGAAAGAGGATCCCATTGTCCATCCCTGAGTCAAATTTCATGGGGTTTGGTCAATAATTAAAGGAGATATTGAGAAACAAAATGTTTGGCCCCATTTACCACAATGTTAACTAAAATTTCAAAGTGATCCAGAATCCAGGATTTCTTCCGGATCACCCCCAAAATGAAATCAGTTCTTCCTTTTCACATTTCCAACAAATCCTGAATCGGACCTGATCGGTCCATAACTTTTTGAGTTATGTTGCTAACAGACAAACAAACAAACAGACAAACGCCGGCAAAAACATAACCTCCTTGGCGGAGGTAAAGATACGAGACATATATTTATGGAAAACACAATTAATATGAGGGGGACTGCAGTCCTTGGCGGAGGTCTGCGCTCTCTGAGTGCTTTTCTAGTTTTGAATTGAGTTCATTAATTCTAGGAAAAGCAATAGTATAACATTAGATCAGGGAGACAAGTGGGTAGCAAACCTCACATAGAGCAACTTTAAATGCTCAGTGCAACTGTGCCCATATAAATACATTTATTTAGAAATTTTTTTTAAGTGGTTGATCAGTGGAGGAAGTTTAGATGTGACTTTCCCATAGTGAACAGGGAAACCCTCCCAGTGAAAAAGGATTGACCAGATTAACACGTCAGTGCGAAGGAGTGGTGTGATCTCTCACTTATGTATTATCACATCTGTGCTGCAATATATGTACATTTTTTTAAACACTATTATTCACCTATTTCTTATTTTTGCTTTTAAAAACATATCGATTAAGATTATTTTGAAAAGAGAAAAAGTCATTTTTTTTACAGTTGTAACCATGTATACAGTTGTGCTGTTGTTGTTGTTGTTGTTGTTGTTGTTTGTGTGTTTGTTTTAATTCTAACCATTAAAAAGAAATTGAAGGCCTTTATCTTCATTGCCTTAGAATTATGATAATGCCACTGGATTTAAGATATTTTAATGTCTAATCTAATGCAGTGGTTCTCAAACTGTTGTCATCAATTGAGAAAATATAATAATTGCAGAGAGCATGCCACCAAAAAAGCATGCAGTAGTTGTTTGTGAAGACTTTCTCCTAATATTTTTTCACATTCACAATGTCTTCACTAGAGGGCGCTAGTTCACTGTCTTTCTTTTACAGTCTATCTATGGCTCATAATAACTGTCTCACTTGCTGTTGTTTAACAGACAACAAATGCTTAATGCTCCTGTTCATTACAATACTTGAAAACTAATATTTGTTCTTGGATTGACCAAAGTTAATAAAAGGAAAAAAAAAATTGTCCATAAGGTAGAAAATTAATGGAAGAACCTAACAAATGGATGTATAAAGAAAACACATACATCATTGTTATCTCTTTTTATTCTACTTGTTTGAGTATATAGATATATAGATAGATATAGATATATAGATACGGGCATATGGGTGAATAGAGCCTACTTGGGCGGGGTACAGGACAGTAACAGGTCGGACATAGAGTCTCAGGCGACACAATCATTTACTCTTGAAGACTCTTGCACTAGATCTTCTTTGCCTCATTCCCAGGTTAATCATAACTTTTCTCCTCTGTGATTCGCCAGATCTGTGGTTGTCATGGCAACAGCAGGCTCCATGTGTTCCTGTTGCGATGCGTCTCCTACATCTTTGGCATGCCGAGTGTGCCTTTACAGTGTGGTGCCATGGGGAAGCCTCACCCCTTTATTCTCACCTCCTCCCTCTCTCCTCCTCCCCCATCACCGCAGCTCTACATGGGGGTGTTTCAGGTGGGCGGGGCCTGTTCCTCTGCAGAGGGATGTAGCCTCACGTTGGAGCCGCCAGTGTGGGAACCCCTGCTCTAAGGCACGTCGCACGGACACTCACTCTGCTCTCTATTCTTCCTCAAGATCTCTCCATCTGCACGCCTCTCCTCCACCTCCTCCATCTCTCCTCTGATTGTATTTTTGCATCCGTCCACCGCTCCTTCCAGCTTCCTCTGCAGCCTTGACTCATCTACTCTCTTCTGTTTTCTTGTCAGTTTGAAGAAGCTGAACTCAACCGCACGACCTGAGAACATCATGTCATCCAGTCTGCCCCCCGGGATGACCACCACAGGGGTCAAAAACAAGCCCCTCTCCCCCTTTAAGAAGCGCGGGAGTCTGCAGTACACCACTAGTACAGGTGAGTAAGCGCCCTGCAAGCGTCCCTGTTGTAACAGACTAATAATACAGTCTGCTACTTACTCAGCATATACAGTTTATAGAATACAGAGATTTGATGTAACTTCTTAGGAAGAAAAAACAGACTACTTTGTTTTTCAATTATAGTTTTTTGGAGGGTGTAACCTGTTGATTGTCTTGTACACTTGGATCCCATCTTAAACCAAGAAAGTGTAATTAAAAAATCAAATTAATTGAAGCTGACATTGGTAACCTTGAGATTTACCCAAGGAATGCACTTCATCAGGAAATTATCCAAGCTTGAATAATTAGGTCATTATAGTGCAAACCATTAAAATACCTGAAGCAAAAAATAGATATGACATTTTTTTTATTTATTGTGGTCTGTCAGGCTTAACTGAGTGAATGCTTATATTATTATTTTTATTCTCATTTAAATACCTCCTTATATGTTTACAATGCATGTACTAAGTCAAGCGCATATTATAGCTACATTGCATAAGCAGCTAAAGCCATTGCTTCACTATCCCCTACTTACTATGAAGACATATTTCAGCCTGAATCAATCTTGTCTTTTCCCTTCGCTGTGGGTTAGATACAATGATGACAGTGTTTTTTTTATAGTTAATGCCATTAAGGTCTCGGGTCTATGGAGTGTGTAGGTTGGTACCTCAGGACATGATCCCTGACTGAATGAGAGGCTTAGTCAGCAGTGTGATGCATGCTCACTAAACATAAGCTTTTATCTGAAATACAAAGGACAGAGGGAGGGATGACCCTGTGACGTAACACTATTGGTTTGAGTGCACCGTCACTTTGCCAATAGCACAAATTGAAATTCAATATAAGCAATTTGATGACTTTAGATTTGTTAATTTGTTGGTCTCACTGAGTGATTTAAATGCAGATAAATATTATCTCCTTAAAAGTATATCTGCAGTTAGCACCTTCCAGTAGAAATATTTTCTTTTTATTATCCACATATCAAAATTCTACAAGATATTAGAAGCATTGCCAATAACAAATTGTGACCATCGTTAAGAATTCAAATTTGATCATAAAAGCATCTTGCTAAAAATGATGCGTCCCAATCATAGACTGAATAAAGAAGTGAAGTGTGAGAGTGTGACATCACCCATACCATTAGGCTCCAGTCAAATGTTAGCAGTGATGGGGTGAATCTGGAGCTGAGTTCCATATTAATAATACGAAATTTTTACGGACCAAATAGTAAAATAAAAACACCACCATCATGTTGAGTGGAATACGAACAGAGAATTACAGAGAGAGGAGTGACAATTTTAAGTAAAGTCAATGGGAGTCAATGGTGGAAGAACGCACACTTCCTATTTAGAATGCCGAGGCTATACAGTATGTCTCCCTGTAAAATAAGAATGTACTGTACTGTGTAAGTATTGCAGACTGAAGTACTGAAGTAAGAGTTGCAGAAAGTTTAAATCAGGCCTTTGAGGAAATGAACTGATGAGCTGTATGTCTAGTAAACAAATGTATTCCTCAGTTGTTATTCGTATGTCTTTGTGGACAATCTCAAAAAACACTCTTTTGTGACCCATTACAGAGCATTACCGTAAAAGCAAATAAATAATTCAGTTCTTGGTGGTTGTAAACTGGACCCTTGAGTCGATATTTGCTGATAACTTCATATCTGTTACATAATGCGACCGTTTTTTTCTCAAATTACATTCTGGCTTCACAATCTAAGGCTCTATTGAGAACACATTTGGTAGAGAGTAGTCATTGAGATGATTACTGAAGCCACAAATCGATTTTCAGTATCTGCTGTCCTCCCCATTACCAAAGCATCCTCTATGATTGCACTTATTTGGCACTTACAGGAGAAAGTGACTATTACCAAAGTCACTGCGTAGTCACAGCCTGGCTGGTTCATATCAAGACCAGACAGACTTGGCTAATAAAGGCCCTGGGATTTAATACGTACCTGCACCAGCTCCAGATAGTGTGTGTGTTTTGTCTGAGAAACATTTGACTAAGCAGAGCTGACATTTTGGTGACGCATCCTCTTTTGTGTTCGGAAAAGGCCATTTGTCAAGTTTAGACTAAACTGTTTACAGCTGATTATACTGAAGAAACATGGAAAATAAGCTGTGAAGATGTGATACAATGATCCCACACATTTGGAAAAAAGTATTTCAAGGTCATATATTACGCACAGTTGACCCGTGAGCTTTAAGCGATGTTAGAATGGCATCAGAAACATACTTGGAGTTGATATTTGTGTAACCCTGTATTATTAATCTGTCCACATCTCCAAAGCTCAAAATGCTTTGGTCTACCTTGATATGTTGTGAAGTGGTAGTTTTCAAGTTAATAGATACCTTTTACCTTTTGTTCAGTAGAGACTGGCAATTCCAGGTCTGAAATTATCCAAATTATTCTACTGTAGTATGTAGTGGAGTAAAAACACACTGGAGCACTTCCTGTATTAGCACATGGCATCACAAGGTATTGTTTTCTGTTAATGAGAAAAAAAAACAACTTTATGCAACTTTATGTGAATGAAACAAAACAAAACTTCAAGTATGTTTTTGATGAGGAAACAACATTTTAACATAGATCACAAAAGAGTGTAATGTAGGCCGTTTAACAATTAGAGAGCAGTTTTATATTCACTGTAATAAATTAAATGGTACATATTACTGGGAATTGTATGTTGTATGATACAATACCTTTTGAGTAACACTGATCAGATATTAATCGCTAACTGAGTGATAATCAGCATGAAGGTTGGTTATTTGAATATTAGGTAGTGTTTACAAAGCACTTATTAATGCATATTATGACAATTGTTAATATATTATCTAAAAAAGTGTGATTAAGAAAACTGACAAAACAGTTGACTAAATGTCTAAATAGTTACAAATACAGACATACAGAAACAACATTGATTATAAAGTTCTTTATTTACTATCTAAGCTCAAACTACTTAGTAAGCCTATTACTTCTAGTTAGCCATTAATACTTTATGTGGTCCGTAAACTATGTTAGCACTTTATGTTATGCAGATGCATGTGGGGTTTTCTCTCCTTACAGAAAGTGAAGTTTGAATAAATTTTACAATTTTGGAGCTGTTACTACGTGAAACAAAAATTTGACGTGCTTGAGCGGCTATGTTGCTTGTTTGAGATGACGGCTGTTATAATTTGACCTTTTTGTCCCTGAAAGGCTGTTGTACTTTTCCCCACTGAAGTTCCTGTGGTTTTATCCTGAATATAACCCTAAGGTTAGCATTCTATAAATACTAAAATTTGTCTTTTGGGGACTTCTGTAGCAGCTGTGTATTCCTAAGTGATATTTCTTGCGATTTCAATCAAATTGAGATCCAATCAATTCAAATTGTCAATGATATGCTTGGAGTTTTTCAGTCGAGAGGTTTATAACAATTCTGGGGCAGATTTTAGATTTTAGAGGAATAAATTGGGCTGTTTTTAAAACAGTACCAATGAACAGTCTGTCTGGTTTATGATCATGAAAACAGTACTGAAAGCTTTTTCTTTTTTTGTCAAAGTAAAATTGAATTTAAAAAAAATCTTTCACCATATCTCACAGCTTCAACAACAACATAAAAATACAAAGACCACTGTAATGTATATGTTCTCTTCACACCACATTTGCCTACCTTTGAATTAATAATGAATGAATGGACAGCCTGATTGGCGCTCTTACCTCTGCATCGTAATTATACCGTGCAGTGGCTGACACTTTAATTTCAGCACTCAGCACTGATCGTCGGAACGACCCCAGCAGCTGTTTGATTGTTTTAATAAGCATCTTAGACTGTCGATTTATTCTAATGAGCCTTGTGCCAGTCAAATGCAAAAATGGAAGAGACTAGCTGTGTATGAGTCACCCATAGCAAAGGTTATTCACACTCTACAAACTGAATTTACTACTTCTGTCAATCTGCCGCTTGCTCTTTTGCCAGGTTTCTGCAGTGTCTCCATATATTTAGCAGGTTTAGGTACAGTTTTTGTGAGAAAGATAATTCTGAATTTTAGGGTACCACCCACTCAAATGGTTCCTACTCAGAGCTTTTGCTCTAGTTGAACCACTTCAGATTACTGCCACGGTGATACCTCTTTGAGCAATGAAATCTCTACAGTATAAAAATGTCTACATTGTTCTGAAATAATAAATAGGTCTACATACTATTGAGATAGGCAGACACATTTCCTAAATATTTACTGCACTACTACTGCCTGCTATTTTATTCAGCTGTAACCTTGACACATTTTCACTATACACAAGAGTATATAAAGCTTTACCAATCCTGCTCATTCAAAAATCATGAATGAATACACCTTGAGACAGAATGAGGACAATTAGACCAAATGAAATGACTACAGTGGTATTATATCACTTGTTTAAATGCATACTACATGTTTTCTTCTGGCGACAGGTATTGATGAGTTTCAAGCTATGCCAACCATTCGGTGTATTATATCTTTTAAATGGGAAAGGTCCTCACTGGATCTTCATGAAAGTCTTTCAAATCAGGAAGGAATTGTTTGTCTGAAAAACATGAATACCGCATGGTAATAACATCTCCATGGAGAAGTTATTATTTTGTCTGGAATGTTTCACAGTATTTCAATAAACGTATTAGTGTAGCTGCTGTAATTGCAGGTCTTTATTTCTCAAAAATACACTGAAAAACTTTTGAGAGTCGCCTCTCAAAAGATCTAACTTGTAATTTGGTTTAGTTTCCCTGCCTTCTTGTGTTTAATGCCATAATATGGAAATAGTTTAATGCTGTACTGTAGAGCTATGCAATAACAACTCAATAGAGACAAGCAGATGGCAGCCGTTCCACCAGAAATGTTACGCAGTGCACCCATTTCCCATAATGCCTAAGGTCTGTAATGACAGCAAAAGTTAGTAAATAAACGCTTTAACAGCTTTTCTTTCAATATGCCTTAAACTTCCATGCATCCATAGCAGGCTTAAATTGATTTAAATGTG